CCTTGAGGATATTGATGCTTACTTGCTACCATACCCAATCATAGAAGCTAGAAAAGAGATGCTCTAACTTATTCTTTCTTAACCAAAGGTACTTCTCAACATACTATCAAAAGACCCAACTAGCTATAAGATTATTTTTGTAATCTAATTAACCTTTCTATGAAATCAAGTTTCTACCAAGAAGTTGTTGTTGATCTTAGATTGCATGAAGCAATAATCAAAGAAATTAGATCTTTATATGCAAATCAAATATGAATAATTATTAAGCTTTTATCAAGAAAATAATCCACATCTATTAGATGGTTATATAAAGCAAAATTCAAAATTAATGGCATTCTTCAAAAAAAAAGAAAACAAGGCTAATTATATAAGAATTTTAGCAAAGAGAAGAACTAGATGATACCAAAAAAATTCTCTGATGGTATAAAGGAGAACCATTTGATTATTGTTTGCATTAGATACACAGAATAATTAGCCATTTTGTCACATGGATGTTAAAATTACTTTTTTATATGGTAATCTACAAGAAGAAGTATATATCACTCAACTTTAAGGCTTTATCATTATAGGAAGAGAACACTTAGTATGTAGATTTTACAAAGTCCTCTATAGCCTATAATAAGCTTCCAAAATATGGCATGATAAGATTAATATTTGACTACAAGATCAAGGTTTTAAAAAGAGAGAATAAGATTTTAACTTATATGTGGTATGTTATATTGGAAAAATTCTCTTCCTAGTACTATATATTGGTGATCTTATATTCACAAGCAATTGTAAAAATTGAATAGCTTGATTCAAGCAAATACTACAAAATAAATTCTAAATATCAAAACTTACAAAAAGTGATCTCATCTTATACTTAAATGCTAAAATCATTTGTATACTTGTAGGTGTATTTATGACATAACAAAACTATACTCAAGAGATTATTAAGTAATATGGATTAGAAGGTTGCCAAACAGTTACTACGTATATAATAGAATGCCTTAAACTAATTCCAAAAATGTATGAAGTTACAATAGATTTCACATATTATAGAGGCATGATCAAATAACTGATACAACTTAATTACAACTAACTAGATTTGCCTTACTCAATTAATATTGTTAACTCTATTGTGACAACTCTAGCTAGATAAGTTATCATATATTGTGACAACAAACAAAATATTAAGATAGCCACTAATCCTAATATTAATCCTTATACAAAATACATCTCTATACACCATTACTTTAGTCAAAAAAAAATAGATAGTAGAGAAATTTGATTGAAATATGTGCCTTCTTTGAATCAAGAAATTAATATATATACTAAGCCTTTGAGACGTCATGTATTTGAAAAAATTTGAACCCAACTCAATATTATCTCATTAATTACAACTCAATTACGAACTTCATAAACATGAAATCAATAATCCACACCTTCTACACTTTTTAATCTATTAATTATTCTTTGAACTTTCAAATCTAATAACTTAGTTTGTCTAATTTTTTCCTCAAAATCAAACTCATAATAATATGTATTGATCATCCTATTCTACTTAGGAATTACAAAAAAAAAAAAACAAACAAACAAACAAACAAACAAACAAACAAACAAACAAACAAAAATGGCCATCTAATTCTTTTGTACTCTTTACAATAGGTCTATTCTATTCAGTTTCAGCTTTCTAATACCTCCATTCTTCAATTAACCTCATCATTACATATAGCAATTCGAATACATTTTCATTAGCTTCTAGCTACTATAAAGAATTGTAGACTTACGGATCACTTCCGCTTTGACCCTATATAGTCTTGAGGTGTACTACAAGCACTCCTTTCAAGGAAAATATTGCTTCTACTTAGCAAGCATTGGAACTTCAAAAAAAAACAAGTAAATTATCAATAGTACAATTGAAAGAAGTGTCACATGAAGAACCTTCAGATCCACCTTCAATGCTTAATAAAAGTTTGTTATTACTTCTACTTATCATGTACATGTTCAAAGATATGATTGCAAAAGTAACTACCATCAACCAACAAAAGATGTCGTAAACAATATACCTTGTTTTCTATAAGCAAATACTCGTCATTGCCATCAATAAAAATAAAAATATCAACTTCATGGTTTCTATTTCTTAAGTGTCTATTTTATTTTAGATTTTATATTTTTAATTGCATAACTTCCATCATTGAACAATTTTCTTCCATCATGATATCTTCCATCATGAACAATTTTGTAGTAAAAGAGGATGTTGGAACATTCATCTCTACTCCATCATCCTCTTATTTATGTTATTATTTAGATCCACAAATACTTGATTTCAAATCTACTTATCTCGGAGAGAAGTAGATCTCATTCTGTATTTTCTTTGTACTTATATAAGTACTGTCAAATGCTCACATTATATTGTTTTTGTATATCAGCATATCATAGTATTGTATTATAATTTTGTCGATTGAATTATTTCCTCACTTCATATTGAGAGACTTAAATATTTTTATCTTCTACTCCTTCCTCGTTTTGCAACCAATTAATTTCTGTAGGAATTGATGTAGCCAATGTCATCACTAAAAGAAGAAGAAAAAATTAATTTACCTTTGCTACTCCTTCCTCTCACAAAACCGATCCTATCAATCAGCACAAGAACCTTATTACATCTCTTAATTTTTCAATTCTCCATGCAACAATCCACTACATTAATAGTGTCTTTAACAATTCAAATATTGTAATATATTATGCTAACTACAACAATAGTTTTCACTACAATTACACAAGCAATCACACAAGCAATCACAAATTGTTCAAGAAGCATAAACTTATGAGAAAAAACTCGAGTCTTAATCAAATGAGTTATCTTTATATTATAATTGCAAAGTTCAATTAATTGCATGCAAGATTAAGATTCCATGGATGTTGTATATAAGAGCTGCAATAGGAAACAAAATTATAAAACTAAACTTGAGTTCATGGAGTTTCTCGTCCAACATCTCTCTATCAAGCCAATCCTAAATATACTTAGCCTACAATAAATATAATGTCTTTCAAATTAGATTTTTTCACAATGAATTGAGTATGTAGGCTACTCTTAGATTAGATATAGCCATAACAAAGGTTTGGTGTGATTGAAGGTCATACCAAATTCTTTGCCAATGTAGTAGAAAAAGAATACTTGTCATCTATAATGCTCCATAAAACTAACCTTCTGATTATATATTATATAGTAGTTGAATTTGTGTTGTTGTTACAAAATAAATGTTGATTTATAATTTAATTGTCTAAGTTAAAAAAATCTCTTCAAACCACCCATTTCAACATTATCATCTTTATAGGTTTGTAATTCTTATCTTTTGCATTAAAATCCCAAAAATTGCTAATTAAAATATCAACCTATGGTTTAAAAATAATAAAAATAAAAAATAAAACTTCAAAGATATCTACATTGAATGACAAAAGAAGATAACATAAAATGTGATAGCACAAAGTTGGAGTATTTTTTACTACATTTCTATAATATTGTGTAAAATCAACATCTTTTTTGGGCAAAACATCTACTTCTCTTCCAACTTGTACCTCCCTTCTTAGATTGCCTCTAACATCTTTTGCAAAACATGGATTGGCCATTATTTATTTACCTTTTTTTTATTTAATCTCACTCAATTCAATCTATTTATATTATAAAGAATATTTACGTAATTTCATCTTTGTCTTCAATATACATCATAGTAGTTAGATCAACATTAGAGAACAATTGTAAAAGATATGTGTCAATGTTTTTTATATTATTTGATGTCACTACTACTACATATAAAGTATAAACAATCACAATTGCATTTGTAATAATAACAAGATATCTTTAATTATAGACTCATTGGGATACCATATAAAGATTTCTATTTTTAGTAATATAATATTAAAAGCCTAAAGCCAGAGAGAATATGACTTAAGACAAAGAACCTGCATGTTTTTATTTTAAAACACATAAAAAAGATTCAAAGAAGATGGGCAATTCAACTATCCAAGTTATAAAGAAAAGAGATTAAGAAAATTGAAATGTCTACCATGTTGCACACTTATATTTATATAATATTTGTACAAAAGAACATGGCATTGAAAGTAAAACTCAAAAAATCACTTCTAATCAAAAAAAATGTAGATCTTATAAAGCAAAAGGGATTCTTGAAAAAAGCTCTAATTCTTATGCATGTCAGAAAAGATGTAAAGAGTGAAATTCTTAACAAAACAGCAAATGCAGATACAAGAAACCTTTAGATTCTAAAAGAATGTGCAATTATCTTCTAAGCAAGTTCTAAGATGTCCTCACCTTAGTCTAAGATTAGTTTTGTTAAGGCCTTGTGATTTGGCAAGTTAAGTTAAGTTTTGATGAAAACAATGAAACAAAAGTTTTAATGAAAACAATGATGATTGACAAATCTAGCCAATGAGAAGGAAAAATTGTCTCCCTAGTTTATCTTGTTGATTTATACCCCTAATGTGTTTTATAATAAAGATATAAATGGAGCTTTTGCTTGGGTCCATCATGAGGCCCCTTTTTCCACACATGCTGTGATTGTTTTGGCTTGCTATGGATTGCAGTGATCTCATATTCATACCTCTCTTTTTCATTGTTGTTATTTTTTTTCTATTTAAAGGAACAGGGAATGCAACTATAATTCGTAATTACATCATTGTATCACAAAAACAATGAAGCAATCCTGATCTCACCAAACTACCAAAGAGCCCTGGATGTGAAATAGATAATTGCAACAAACCCCGCAATATAACCCCTAAAGGAATACCAGTAAGACACCTCGAAAACTACGCTCTCCGCAAACTTGGCGTTTTTTTTTTCACCCTTTGCTTTTATTGTTCTTTTAAGATTATATTCACTTTTTTCTTTTTTCTCATTCACTTACTATTATTTTTATATGTGTTTGGGCCGGTTTGAATCGCAGAAAGCGGGGGGAGGGGATGTGCCATTTGTCCCGCCGCATGATTTGGCCATGTGTGCCTGCTTCCATGGTGTGCTGCACTTCTACATTCTGTGTGACCCGTGGAAACATCACTCCATTCTGCATTTGGATCAGTGGCTCCATGCCTTCCTCCTCCTCCTCCTCGATGACGATGAAGCCTTAGATGCCTTCGCTGCTGCTTCGATGCGGGAGTAGTCGGTGTGGCGGGGGTTTAGGTGCTGCGGACTTCACGATCTCGTGCGGTTCTTTGAGTTTGGTTGATGTGTATTGATAGGTAGCTTGAGGTGGTTCGCGTTGGCCGCGATGGCGTTGACGTTGCGGGTGTTTCCTACGCTTGCTGCGTGGCGGATGCCGCAAGGCGTCGAGATTGGCCTTGGTCGTGTGCGAGTGCCAGCCTTCCGCAGAAATTGTGATAGGTTTTGGTCTTTGAGGTGTAGCGCGGAGGATATTGTCGGGGACAGCGCCGTGCGTGGAGGGGAGAAGGATGTCGCTGCGCATGTGGAATCGTCTTCGTTGCATTCGGATGGGGCTGGTGTTCCATTGGTTGAAGACAAGTTTGGTGGATGGTATGGGACTGATGAGGTCGACCAGGACAAGAATACATTGAAGATTGGTAAGGTGCTCATCCTGAAATGTTGTCCCCTCGACAAGGTTTGTGTCCTGTGCTTAGAACTGCAGCCGGAGCTGCACGGATGAATCCATTTTAGGCATTGCGTGGTTCCGTGAACCTGTTTCATTGGCCCCGTTTGGGGTATTCTCTTATCTTCCAGATTGATTGCTTTTGAGATTAGGCATGGTTAAGTTGGTCATTGAATGAACTGACTTCGTAGCGGCTATGGTATAATCTCGTCTCTCGGCGAAGTGTTACTATTTGGAAGATCATCTGGAGTTATGTTGTTCTTCTTCGTCTCTTTCTTCCTTCGTTTTCTTTCAATATATTGATGGGATCGCATGTAGATTGATTGGTTTGCAAATTGTTCGCTGCTCCATTCGAAGCCATTTCCACTGGCATTTTAGAGTTTGGTTCTGTTTAGGTGGTGTAATTTTGGTTCAGGTCGGGGCTTCTTCGAAGTGTATCTATCTTCCATTTGCTGCTGTAAGAACAATGTTGAGTCTTATTTATGAGTATCCTCCCAGGCAGTAGTAGCTGATCAGCTTTTTCGTAAAGCAATTAGGGATCGAACGTTTTGATATCTCTTTTGATCATTGAAAGCTTTTAGATATCAAATTTAATTCAATACCTTACAGTCGTGCATAAAATTTTGGCTCTTATCTTGGTTGCTGATCACATCAGGTCTTAACAAAGTTATCAATGATTTTGGAATTCGGATTCTGTTCTGATGTTATGTGTAATGTTGCAGCTGCTATACAAGTGGCTTCTGGATTTCTGCTTGCGCTTGGACTTTCACTGTCCTACCTCGTTTGGTGCCGAAAACATGGTTCGTAAATACCTCTTGACTCTTGACACGAACTCCTGAATTCTGTGGTGTAAGAAGCACATTCCGACATTCATTCATTTTCTACACCTAAACTTGACGTGCGTACTACTGGCACATCTTATTGCGGTGATTTTACGTAACTCGACTTTTCCTTAGGATTGCAGGAAAGAGAGTCATCCCGCCTCTACCTACTTTGACACAAATACAGTTGCCATCGTCTTTGAAGAAGTCACTACAAACACGGTTTCTTTCTTTTTTAAACAGATCATCCGAAGAAACCGAGCATTCAGATCATGACGATATTGAGGTCAGCGAAGAGAATAGTTCAAGAAACAGTTTCGGGAAACAGATGGAGGAGAGTTTCCATTCTGATGAGGGCAAGGGTGTGAATAGTGACGATGTACAGCACATTCAGCACAAGAATCAACAGATCTTAGAGGAAGATAAATTGTTTGCTAGTGATGATAGTGACGATGAGCAAAAAATTACAACTCCTGTGCCTTCTGGTTGGCAAGAGGCATCATTTTTACCGCAGGAACAAGGATTTGTCACATTCAGTTCGACGGATGACTCATCACGTGATGCCTCTGATTTTCCCGCGAAACCCTCGAGCAAACAGCTTGATACCGACAAGGTTTTAAGTGATGGGAAGGTTGATTCGAGACTATCGGCTTCAGACCCTGCTGCTAATTCCTTTGCAACTGAGCAGGTTGAAGATAACGATACAGATAGTAGCTATGATGAGTCAAAACCTCCATTCTCAGAATCCCTTCTTGAAGCTGAAACCTCACGACATAATTCAAATAAGTCTCACAAAGATGGCAGTGATGAGCCGCAAGTTGCACCCTCGAAGCGTAGGAAGCTCAGAAGATCACAAGGATTCAAGAGGAAGATTTCAGGTTAGTTTTTCTAGGGTATTATCATTCTCTTGATGAACTATTTAGTAATGTGGCTGTTTGTTCTGCATAAAGCTGTTACAATCAAAAACATGATTATGCAATATTTGTGTTCTTAATTGGGACAGAGCAATTCGTAACAACTGTGCATGGAATATTTATGCTAGGGTTACCAAGATCTAAAAATGTATTGCGATTTTAGATTCAAATAATCAACGGGGATATTTAATCAAATTGAATTGAATGTTTTTTTTAGGGATCACTGTTCACTGTCAAATGTTTTTTACAATGTGCTGGCAATCAGTGACGAGGTTATGTCGTGTAAAGAATCTAGTTTGAATACTTTTTTCTTTTGGTTTACTGCAGCAAGTTCTTGATTGGTCTTAATATATATTTTGTATACAAAGCTGTTTCTACGAACTAATTGGGAGAATGAACTGATTCAGTATCCAGGTTGTGTGATCTAGGTTGCATGATCCTTGAGTTCGAAGGTGTTACATTCCACAGTAGATGTCTAACTTTGAATACGGGGAGTAGTTGGGTTGAGAAATTAGTCAAATACCTTACAATAGTGTAGATATTTCATGTCATCTTGCATACCTGGCTTATTCTTTCAAATTACTGATGGGTTGGGCTCTTGGCTGTTCAAGGGAAGGTGATAGTACCGGCTGTTGTGGACCACATGCAAGAGCAAGTACTAGCTGCACTGCAGGCATCGAAGGTTAGGTTTCAGATTTTGGTCATTTATCAGGGCCTCAAACTCTAAATTTCTATTCCATTTTTTGATGATTCACCCTCAGAACCGATGAAATTGTCACGGAACTGCTCTCCAATTTGATCAGCAGTAAATTTTCTGTACACAGATAGAGGCCTTGTCGTTCAACAAACGTTTTTCAGGCATCCAAGTCACGAAGTCGTGCACGGAAGAAACCTCTAACATGTTGGTGTGAATATCAGGTTGTGGAAGAGGGGGCTGATCCTCGAGCTATCTGTAACCGCAGAGATTATGCTCGTTGGATTATTTCATTCAGCAGTACGTTGTCTAGGTACACTACGCTACACCTTGAGATTAGAATTTGAGTGACCATGTTTCCGACAGGCAACACCCGTTGTTTCTTTAGTTAGGAACCGATGAGAAACCATGACGAGAAGCTTAATTGTTACGTTGTATCTTGTCCAATATAATCGTCTCTAAGCGATGTAGTGATATTAGGGGCGCTTTGACCCGCTGGTGGAGTCCAATTAGTACTTTTCGTGATGTTTTGTGTTGGATGCGTAGGAGCCCCGCTAACAAAGTACTTCCGGCCATGTACATTGAGGGTGTCACCAAACAAGCGTTTGCTGATATTGCTTCCGATGATCCCGACTTCCCTTACATTCAAGGTGTTTTTGCTCATATCAAAGTTGTATCTGGATTTTCATGTACTGTGAATTCAACTAAAACCGTCCATGAATTCTTTTTAGCTAGAGTAGTGGTTTCAAATGTGTATGGTGATTAATTACTGGTGGAATTAAACTATTTTTCTGTATTTTAAACCTTGCAATACTTCATACTGTGATACAGGCCTTGCTGAAGCTGGGCTCATACCTAGCAATTTATCTCTCATCAATGAGGATCGTGGTACATATGATAGCGACTCAGACGTGATGTATTTTTTTCCTGACAGGTATGCAGTGCTTGGTGTTTTAGGTTCAGCTATTGATCATGACATTGAATCTTTGATCCCTGATAGCACCAGTAGCGTTTATTCGTTTCACCACTCATTTGATTTCTAGTCTTAAATGGAAGTGATCTCATCGATAAAAGGGATGTCTTTGTCTGCCTTTGTGACAATGTATTCTGCTTTAGATTACTAGACATCTTATTTGCTATGCAGAGAAGAAGCCTTGAAGGTTTAATGGCGCACGTGGATGTATATGGTCCACAGTTGCACTGAGTCTTTGTGTTTGCAGTCCAGTGACTCGTCAGGACCTTGTGAGCTGGAAGGTGGCGCTTGGCCGACGCTCTCTACCAACTATCGACAAAGAGGTGACGATCAGTGTCATGCTTTTATTAGTGACTGGAGTTCAGTGTTGAATGTTATACGAGTGCTGAGTGGTTATATCATACTTAGACGGAGATATCGTTGTTTCTTTCAGACGCTTAAGGCAAAGTCCGGCTTTCTCGATGTTGACCGAATTGACAATACGCTGTGGCCATTATTAAGTGATGATCTCGATTCTGGAGAGAACAGTATCATATTGTCCGCATTTGGTAATCATCTTACCTTAATAGCTTTTCAGATACCTTCTATTTGACTGAGAATCAAGACTACAGTTTAAGTTAAAAAGTAATACGTATGGTAGAATCACTTCACTAACAGTATGTAGAATGTAGGTTTTACAAGAATTTTTCAGCCAGAGAAGCCAGCAACTGTCGGGCAAGCAGCTATTGCCCTGGCATGTGGGAACACCTCTGAAAAATTTGGTGAGGAATTAGCTAGGTACCAGGCGGAGTGGACGGCTCACGAAGTCGCAATAGCAGATGATGCAATGAAAGCTCAGAAACAGAAGGAACTGGATGAACTCTTTGACGGACAACTGAGCGCCGAGCGACGACAAAAAGAACTGGCTCAGCAACGCTTCGAGGAACTGAGAGCAGAGTTTGAAAGGATGAAATCCGAAAGAGATGCAGAGAAGGGCGTGCTTTTGAAAGACAAGGCCGCCGTTGAATCAGAAAAGGAGCTTCTGGGTCATTTGAAAGAACAAGTTGACGAGCAACTGCAGGCACTGACCACGCGAGAAATGCAGGTCTCTATTGAGCAAGACCGATTAGAAAACCTCAGATCAACATGTGAAGGTCACGAGGAAGAATTGTCGAGAGTGACTTTTGAACTTGAAGTTGAGAAAAAAGCTCTAATGCAAGCCAGGTGTTGATTCAAGTGCTTACCCTTGATTTATTTACTTATTTTGTTTACATTTTACACTATTTTCACATTTTGGTTAATTCGCTTAGAATTTGAGCCCTTTGAGTAGTGTATGTCCTTCATTTTGACATTCAGCTTCCTAATTTTATTCGAGTGAAATTTAGCTGAGCGAAAATGCTTTCGACTGGTATGACAGGTTTTGGGCAGAGGATGAAGCTCGGAACGCGCGAGCCCATGCTGAAGCACTTGAACAAACCCTAAAGCGGAGATCTAATCGAGAGCAAGTTGAAGTAACAGACAGAAGCTGGCACTACAATGCTAAGGATGAAATTAAAAATGTTGTCCAGCGAGCTCCCATTCAAGGTGTTATGGATAAGGTTGAAGACCTTACTGGCAACGTCAGGACTGCACTCATTCAATCCTGGCAGACAATACTGAGAGTGATAAATGGTTTCCTGCAGAGAGCTGGGGAGCTCGTACAAGAGATCAGATGGAAGATCCAGCATTATTATCGTGTTACCTCCTCATCCACTGGGAACCTACTTCAGGACTCGGCATATTCTGTAAACCAAAAGCTTCAAGGCTTGCAGTCTACGGCATTAGAGTTTTCAGCCAAAGTAGCGGACGGAACAAAGAGGTTGGCTAATGATTGCAAAGATGGAGCCCAGAAGTTGTCCCGACGTTTCAAGGCTGAGTAGCGCTACTCTCGGACGCAACCAATAGTTGTAGTTCATCGTCGAGAGTGTGAACTTGGCGTCAGGGATTGGGGCAGTGATTTTGGTCTGGGATTTGGCCTTTGTCAGGTACCTTGGTTTAGTATCTTGGTGGCTGTGACTGCTCCATATATAAAGTATATCACAAGGAGCACGCAGTAAACTAAAGCTTGGTCCTTGGTGATGTAAGCTACACAACGAGGATCTCGGTATCTCCTGAATTGGTAGAGGTGTGAGAAAAAGTGTTTGCCTCCCACAGTAACCAGCAGGCATGTAGACGGAGATGTCTACAGCCCTTTTTCGATTCCAGTTCTTTGATATACTCTTCGGTCCATCTTACCGGAGGGTTGTTGAATTTGTATTAATTTTAGAATCACTTATATTTTGTTCATCCTGAAATTATTTGATAGTTTCCGTTCCTGATAACAGTCATTGATTTTCCTGGATATGTTGTGCCGTGTCCTTCGAATTCAGTAGAAGTGTATTGAGTTGTGGTGTCCAGTGTAGCGATTTCTGTTACTCAGTAAGATCTGAGCACACGTGGGTTTTTTCATGCATCTGAAAACTGCAGCTGCCAATCAGGTGTCATATTTTATGTGCATCGCGTGATAAGGTGAACAACTTCTCGGTTTTATCCCAAAGTAGAGCAGAGAGTCATGTAATGCCAACGATGAGAAAAGAGCACAAGACTTTCGCCAGAAACTGTATTATTATTTTTATTTTAATGCAATCCCTCTACCTGATTGCAACGAACGACATTACAAGGAGCTAGCAATCAGACACAAGTGAGAAAAAGACACCGTCACCGGACACATCATGCAAACAATGAATCAATCAAACAAACAAGATTTTTATAAATATCATGCAAACTGTACCTTAAGGTGCACTATTTTACATCCTACTATACCACTTGCCTCAATTATTTTCTGTTCTCTCTAGTATTTATTTCTGTTCTCTCTAGCCATTTATTTCAACATTGAAAAAATATATATTCTTTTAATCTAAAATAATTCTTCTTATAGAAATATTAATGAAGAGTCTTTATATCTAGAAGTTCACTTTAAGGAGACATGGTGCAAAACTTTTACAAAGGTTTTTTTGTTTGGTAAAGGAATTTTTTCTTTAGAAGCCTTAGCCTAAGGAGATAATATAAAGTGAAAATAGGTCACAAAATGAATCAAATCATTTTTTTATTATAAGTCTAAATATAATAATTTATATTTTAATTCTACCAATTATGAAAAATATGCAAATTTTGATTTTAAAATTTTTAATACATATTATTAGTAATTTATAATATAACTTCTTAAGTTTTGTAAAAACTATCTCTTGAGAATAGATTTATTTTAACCTCCAAAGCTTCTTAAAAGCCAAAATGACTTTAGGTTGTTTAGAAATTTCATATGAAATATCAAACTAAGGTATTTTTATTAATTTTTTTTGAGAGTAGAAAATCTTATAAAGATTATGCTTCACTAAGTTTTTTTTAAAAAATATTTTTTTAAATTAGTGTTATCGTGTTTTGTAGATTTGGACCCCAACCAAAGCAATTTGGACTTGGGTATCGACCAATTACATGATCGTTGTATTTTTGGACGATTTTGGGAGTTGTATGATAATAGTATTGTAGGACAATAGTTTATTATAGAAACAAGGTGTTATGGGCAAAACTAACACTATGAATTACTTAAATAAGACTAGAGAATCTCTAGTCTTTTTATTTTTGTAATTGTCATTTTAATTTTAATACTGTATTAATTTTGAGTGATTTAATATATATACATATATATACATATATGCAATTTCACAAGAATAGATTGACTCTTTGATTCTATATGATATATATCCTTGATACAAAGGTGTCTGCATTATTGGCAAGGGAGGTCCTATATTATAGTGCTCTCTAATGGTCCTTCTAAATTCCATTTCAATTTAGTTTTTAATATTTAAATTTTTTTTCTTCTAAAACATATGAAAGTACTTCTATCCACTATTTTTTTTTAAGAAAGATTTTTTAAAAAATAATATGATTTTTTAAAATAATTTATTTGTTATTAGTTTTTTAACTATCTATTTCTTACAAAAAATTTAATTAAAGGTCTTATGCACATCTTTTTGGCTCTAAGAATATGCATGCATTTATTCAACTTAAAGATAACTTTGAAAACAAAATTCCCTTGAAAAATTTAGAGTCACAAGTAAGAATTTTGTCTAGCACAAGTCTCACAATGCCTTTCAAGCAACATCAAAAAAAAACTTTTCTCCTTACTTTGAATATTACAGTCTCCCAAATGCAATGACCCCAATACTTAAGATTTAATAGATTGATCCTAATGTAAATTAGAAACATGATCTTATAATTGAAAGTATTTTAAATACTAAAAATAGATATTTAGAAGTTATTTTCTCAAAAGGGGTATGTTTTTGGTAATTTTGGAGTTTAGAAGGCAAGATAATATAAGGAACTTTAGGGATTAAATCTTAGAAGATAAAAAAATCATGCTATTTAACAAAAGAATTGATTTTTTATTCTTTTTATTTTATGTTTTCTTTTTATTAACATTTGTGTTGCTAATGTTTATGTATAAAATATTATTATTATTATTTTGATGTTGTTTTGTACCTTTTACTCTCATTAGTGTTTAACTTGTTGAAACTTTTTTATGAATGGTGTATTATTAGTGTGGCACAAATATGTGTTTACATAGAAATAGAGAGGTGTCTACTTAGTAGTTCCTTTTACTTAAAATACAATACAATAACCTAACAGTTGTTGTCAAAGCACAAAAGTCTAAGAAGCTACAAAAGAAATAAGATTTTATTTAAAAAAAAAAAAAAAAAAAAAAGATAAAAAAGATAAATGTTTTCCTTGGTCTTGTCAAAATTTATAATACTTGCAATTTTTTTTTTTAAATCCAAACTTATTAAATAATAATTTTAATAAATTATTTCAAACTTCTGTTGTAAAATATTTTTTGTTGCAAGCTTATGAAGCTTATTACAGTAGTTTATAAAGGTCAAAAGGAGTACCAAATGTACTTAAAAAATATAAAATCATACTCATTTATGTATAAAATTATATTCCATAAATATTATTATGTTTTAATTTTTAATTATAAAAAGTAATAAAATTATGCATATTTTCATGTTACTTTTTTTTCTACTGAAATAATTACTAGAACAACCTTAGAAGGTGTCTATTTTAATTAATCAAACATATCATAATTAAAGTATTAAATATTTATTCATTAATTAATTTTAATTGTTAAATTATACATTATTGTATTAAGTTCTTGATAAAATCTAATTCTCATAAATAATATCTTTAAATGTGTTTTATATATTAAATTTAATCTTTATCAAAAATAAAGTTAAGGGTGGCTTGAAAAAAGAAACTATAGATTAATCATGTTGAAAAAGGTCGGTTTGACTTTGAATCAATTTGTTGCCAAGTCTAATATTACTTAATATAGGTCGTTCTATTGTACAATTTTTTTCGTTTTTTGATGAAATTGTAAAGTGCTCTACATATCTTCCTGTAAACTTATTTTATATATAAGAATAGATTACCACTTCTTCAACAAATTAATAGCTTTAAAAAGCATGTTGTTGTTGGCCTTGCACCAATTTACATAAGTTGTCAATGAAGGCCAAGATATCTATGGTAACTTTCTCGCCTTGCTAAAAAATACATACCTTAAATTCTTCTGAAATCTTTTCCATATGTCAGTCAAAACCAAAAATTACACGTAGCCTATTTTTGAAAGCCTGCCACTTCAATAAAGAATCCCCAATCCACACAAACATGCCCAGTTGGAAACAAACCAGTACATGCTTTTAACTTTTTTTAATAATTTATATACCCACTACATATTTTCCGAGACAAATTTTAATAATTCAGAACACACTGTCAATCCACTCACACCACAAATCACTTCAGCACCAACACTGCTCAAACTCAACCCACCTCAAAATATTACAATATCAATGTCACACAATCACTACCACGACCCATTAAAACGCATGGCAGCACCACTAACACTAAACCAACCATGGATTATCAATGGGGAGTAGACGGAAGTGAACTACAGCAGAAAGGCATGTGAAATCACCATGGATATGGTGCAAAATGCCACACCACAGGCTAAAGAATAGAACCAGTGGACAGTAATACAACAACATAGTATGAGGCTGGTGTGTGTTGTGAGATCCAAGCCACGGAAGTAGTTTAAATTCTATCGCTGCGATGGTGCTAATTTCTCACTGTGAGCACCACAGATTTGGTGCTCACTCATTTCGCCACTGTCAATAATAAGTCGTCGTCGTCGTCGTATTGGCTTGTTGTTGCAGGTCAAAATTAGAGATCGACTGGGTGGATTGTGTACAGCGATGGCGAGATTCTAATGTATGTTATGCTAGACACCCCTTCAGGAAGCATTGATCTGCCTTGAAGAGAAAAGAATTTAGATTTCTAGAGTTGGTTAGAATAGAACTACGTTTAGACTGTGGATTTGATTGAGAAATCTCACATGTGTATGGGTGTTTTGAGACGCCGGATCAGTTGATCCTGCGGCAGTTGAGACGAACCTCGCCGTCGAAGTCGTCCTTGATATCTATGGCGGCCATCTGAGCCAAAGCGTTGCCGAACTTCTGGTTCCAAGTGATCCCGTTCACGACGTTCAGGTCGGACGTGAACTGGGTTTCGAAGTCGTTGAAGAGTGCCATGTCGGAGCTGAACAGCACTTTGCCGGCGAATCCATTGCTGTAGAAGTTGTTGTCGATGACGAAGGGCGTTTGGGGGTCCATGTTTACTACCGTGTTTGGGTTGGGGTTACCTCGAGGACACTTTGCCTGCAATTCAGCGGCGTAGTCAGGGTCCAGCGTGGGATCCACTCCATTCGGCGACCCTGGGAAGTCGTAGAGCCGGTCCATGAAGTTCGAGCAGTGGGCTACGCCGATTGAGTGAGCACCTGCCATCGATTCCCAGTTTCACTGTGAGCTCGATATTCTCCACTTGCAACTGTTTTCAGATATCATGGACGTGGTGTTGATGAAGTTTAATGAACTGAGAACAAATAATGGGGTTGCTGATTACGTACCTGAGAGAGTCACCATTTCGTCTTGAGAAAGACCCTTGTTACTAAACTGCGCTGTCAGCTGCTGCACATTAGATTTCGAAGAAGGAAGTGCAGCCTCCGCGGCATTTCTGCTGGAAACGCGCCCATCCCATCGTCCAGTCGCCATAGTTAAGGGGAGGCCTTGAAAATTCAACCCAGCCTGATCGCATCAGAAAGCACTCTCCACTTTAGTTGGATTCCGACAAGGGTTTACGTTAGTAATCTGAAAGGGGGAGCGACGAAGCAGACACAATGGGGCATTAGGGGGAGGTTGCATACAAGTACGGCGGAATCCCTCGCAGCAAGAGCGACAATGTCGGCGCAGGAGACAGTCTGTGGACACTCAACTTCGAGGCGTGCCTTTGCAGCGTCGATGACGTCGTAGCCCCGCACTGTTAGGTTGGGGGACGCCGCTTTCTCGACGTCGGGATTTTCGGGACTTGGGTCCAAGAGCAATGACCCATCACAACCCTGCATTGAAAGTTACATCAGACTATGGTCACAAACCCAACTATGCCTTTTCAATGACCCCGAACAAAGCCTGAGACAAGACTCCATATAAACTTGAACTGGAAGATGTTAACAGTCCGCGCTAAAACTATGTCTCAAAGCATTGGGACATCAATAGCATGAATTGTAGGAAGGCATTGCACTGTACCTCAACGAAGCAATCGTGGAACAGGAGACGGAGCAATGCAGCAGGAACGGTGGCATCCCTCGAGTTGAACTCTCTCACTGTCTCGGTGACAATGCTCTCTGCCCGCGGACAGCTTTGGTCGTAGAATCCCACGCCTATATTTTGAGCTCGCACCTGAGTTACAAGCAACAAGCTCAATGCAATGACCACCACGAAGCAAGACTCCGCCGCCGAGCTTCGCCTGCTGAAGTCCAGCCCGCCCATCTTCAACAACTCAATCACACCCTCCCCCTAAACCTTGTGATAGTATCCCAGGAATTGTCCTTGGAATCCCTCTGCCAACCTCTGCAAGTCGATCAGTCCTCAGTCCTGGTGATGAGTGTCCGCCACAACAGATCAGAAAACCAGGCGCCTCGTGTTCTCAAGATCTCAAGTACTGATCATGCCCATTCCGCTGGATGCAAATTGCAGAGGCCTAGCACCGACCACGGAATATTGAGCTTCCAGGGCCTGAATTTCTACCCTTAAGCTGCAGAAGCAGTGGCAGCGAGCGCGCTGATTTTCCAAACCAGCAGTCAACGAGCAGCGTCAGAAACCCCGCGTGCACAACAACTAGGCAGATGCGCACTCCAAAACAGAAAGTAGTAGTAGCGGGACTGCAGTAGAGAGATTATTGGAGGCAAGGAGTACGATGAGAAGAGTCCAAGTTGCAGTAACTTCAGCTGAGTATGCGACACCATCGCTCAGCGAACACGACATCTTTCTCGAAGACAAAGACACAAGCGTCAGAGACGGTGGTTGTGTTTAGTGGCAGAGTGCATGTTCTAGACGGCCCTATTATTCTTACTGTTCGACACTTTCTCGCGTTTGTCAACCGTTGGGTTGTCGCCTCTTGCAGCCTCCATTTAATGCGGTAGCCACCATCGCACCACCAGTGCTTGAGGATTAACGTTACAGCCCCGTTTCTCTTGTCCAGCGACAGTCCCTGCAGGCAATAACAGAGCGTAACAGTGACATCCATGCCATTAAGTTTATTTGCAGCAGCAGCTCCCCATTTGCTTTTACCCTCACTGCTTGATAACTCTCCTCCACCACCGCCTTCTGCTTGCATTTACATTTCCTTCTCTCTGTGGATTTTGTGCTGTTGCCAGCACATGTTGGTGTGTGCGTCCTGCACTTCGATATTGCTGGTAGTAAATGCAGCATTTGCAGCGTTGGGGATGGACACTTTGTGGTTGTGTGCATGAATCCATGGCCCTTGAGATTTGCTCACACACCTTTTCCACACACCATTGCCTGCCTCAGTGCCTTCAACTGTAGGTGGGTGCAACTGTTTCACTCATGTTTTATGGTTTTGGGATGCGGTTGCTGTTTTGTTTCATAACCTGATTGTATCCTCTGCTGTAGTTGCTCTGCTCTTCATTGTTGTTTGTAATTTTCATTGGATGTTTGTTTTGTTTTTTCTGTTTTTTAATAAAAAGTCATCTTGTGGTTAGACCTGGGACAGTGTTGAGAATAGTATGTGCACCCTTTTACCAATGTCACTTGTTGATGATTGAGGTAACTGAGACAGGATTTGAATGTGAATCCAACCATCATACTCCTTGCAAGCCTCAATGCTTGAAATACCAGAACCACAGTTGTACAGTGGGTGGTGAGTAAGGAAAATATATAGATATATATATATATATATATATATGTATTGATCAGCTGATATGTGAATTCATTTTTTTTTCTTCTTGTAGTAATAAACTGTAAAGAAGTAGTTGATTTTATTAGTTACTTTTTTGTTCGAAAAATCTATTTCATATCTTAAATAAATTCTCTACAAGTGGCAGAAAGATTATGTTTATCGTTCTTAATTAAACATCCAAGTTGGCACTCTTCCAACAATGTTTATTGTTTAAAAGTCATTCAATGTCACCATTATCTTTGTTTTTATATTTATATATTTATTATGTTACTACATAATTAACAATAGAAAAAAAAAAAAAAAAAAAACATGTGATTTTATTTTGAATTATCTGTTTGAGCTTATGAAAATATTTTAAATTGTAATTTGACATCTTTTTTTAAAATTTTATTTTTGTTAAATTCCAAATATTTCCAGTTTTCTTTATCTTAATAAAATCCAACTACATCTCTATATGTAATGTTGAATTTGTTTGAAAGCTACATTGTATATATATATATATATATATATTAAATCTAACATAAATTTATAGAAAAAATGTATAATACTTTAATAAATTATATCATTTTAGAACTCTTGTGGCATTTGAGCATGAATCTCAAGCAAAGGATTATTAAGATATGTTTATCGTTGTTTCTCAAGCTTTATCATTAGTTTTTCTTGATTATTTTGGTTTGTGTTGTTTTTTTATTAAATACCATAAAAAATATAGATTTTCAAAAATCAATAATATATATATATATATATATATATTTGTCCTTGTATAGTTATTTAATTTACTTCAAGTCTCTTAAAAAATCATAAATTTTTAATTTTATATTAGTTTTATTAAGAAATGAAAAGAGAAGTAGAGATGTCTCATTAAAAATCTTGATTAAGTTCTTCCTCTTAATGCAATTTTGATTTGTATCATAAATTTTTCTTCTGAATCCAAATAACACCCAGTCTCAATGTAAGCTTGATCCCTTTCTTTATTGATACTTTTTATTTACTTGTTTATGTTTAAAATACACATGCAAAGTTAAGTAAGAAGTAATAACTTTTTTATCCTTTTATTATTTTTTAATAAAAACTTAAGACAAAATATGAAATTTTATTTTACTAATGCCTGTTACAATATTTTACGATACTTAGCAAAGATAATTATGAAAATACTTACATTTACTATGGGCACGTCTTTTCAGATTTTTATATTTTACTTATTTATTCAAAAGCTAAAGTTTTGACTAGTTTTTTTGACTTTTAAATAAAAAAAATATAACACTTAAAAGTACAGTGAAATAACAATATAATAGCCTAACTAAAGCAACAGAGATGATATTTAGGATAATTATATTTGCAACACAAGAGTGTTGTCACACAATCACCAAATTAATTGGATTTTTCTTTGAAGACGACATCCAATACTATGAGAATAATACGTTTATTAAAAAAAAATCTCACATATTTTTCCAAATAAGACTTTACATGCCTTAAGTGTCATCTTAGGATCATTTTGTTACTTTGATATAATGGTGTTCCATTGAACATAATGATATAATGTTGCATTTTGTTTTGCAACCTTGTTATTTATAGTAAACACCGCCCATATATTTATATATATATATATATATATATATTTACATCCTAATATTCTATCAATTTATATTTCTCATGCTATTATTCTCATATAATCAGGGATTTAAATAGAAATAGCAATTTTAAGAACTGGATTAGCTGATTTTAGGGGACCCGCCCATATCTAGGTTTCTTAGATTTTCTTCAAATCTAGGTTTCGGGTAATTAGATGTGTCAAGGTCTAGTCTCTCACTGGGTCTATTCTGAACGAACGAAAAAGAGGATATGAACGAAAGTAACGACGGACGGACGGACGGACGGACGGAAGTGGAGCGAAGAAAATCATGGAGTATGGAATTGCAGCGACGGCGAGAGCGTGAGGAGGTGTCTGAGCTTGCGTTAGGTTTTGCGAGCCAAGAGCACGAATTGATAGCTACGGAATTGGTCGGCATGGAGGTGGAGCAAAAGCAGGCCGATTTAGTGCAGCAGTTTGTTTTGCTGGCCGCAAACGCGCGGGGCCGTGCTGCCGTCGAGCTCATCACTCATGCCACATCGCACCCTCAGCTCTTCGCCTTCTCTGAGCTTCTTGCCTCGCCCCATATCGCCGAGGTTTGCGTCTATCCTCTTTACTGATTTGCATGAACCGTTGTATTTGAGAATTCTGATTACCTCATCTAAGCTGTGTTTTGTTTTGTTTTTATTTTTCATTTTTCATTTTTTTTTAACTTTTTATTTCTAGTTTACTGGGATCATTGAACCTCAGTGCATGTCCTACTGTCTCGTGGCGGGAGAAGTTTCGTTTCGTGTATATTTTAGGTTTTTGTTTGTTTTTACGTTTTTTGATCGTGCGTTTTGGATTATACCCTAATTCTGAAGTAACCTGGGTCGGATGCCTGTCACTCGGTCAGACAGATATAGATATGGATGTATGTGTTTATGAGTGTATGTGATTTAGTTGTGTGTCATGGTTTCTTCTTTTGATCTAAAAACGGGAAATCTTTGTGGAGAAAGTGACAAAGGGACTGATATTGATTAGCTAGCGAATCAGGCCTTGTTTCATTATCTTATTATGGTTGCGCAACTGGAGATATGTGACGCATGAATTTGACTGAATCTTTGAATATGTTTGATTGCCTGGAAATGATGAGCATTCTTGCTGGTTGTGATTTTGTAGTTAAAGGGAACGGAGCACTCTGCTTCTTTGGATCTGCTTCGTCTATTTGCACATGGGACCTGGTCCGATTACAAAAGTAAGTGATTTTACTCTATTTAGTGAGTTTCCGTTTGCCCCGGTTCGTGCCGTAGACATCGTATTTTGCTTGGATTGTTAGGGTTAGTTTTTACGTTATCTTCCACTCATGCACTAGATGTTCGACTTGAATTCCGACTTGTGGATACTTCGGCATGTTCAGTAGATTTGGGTGATGTGTGAATACACTTCTGCAACAATCTCCAGTGCAGAAAAACATGTGATAATATGTCTACGATATTGCTGAAAGAGATTCTATTGACGTATCAGATCTGTCAGAAGATACTTCTGCGAATTGATAACAAACATCGAATTCAACATATGTGTTTGTCTCAGTATTTCTTAGGAGTAAGACGTTCACCTGAACGTTAACATATTGCTTCTGGATGATGTCATTTGGCACTCATGATCCTGATTCGTAGCTTCCTGTTGCAGATAATGCACAGATGTTGCCTACGCTTGATCCACAACAGGAGCTGAAGTTAAAGCAGTTAACCGTGATGACTCTGGCTGAAACTGCCAAGGTATTTCCATGTTGTAGGCTTTTCGCCTACGCTGGTGGTGGAGTATGTCATTGGGGATGGGTGGACGGATTTCTAATTTTAACCAGAGGAGTATCATTATGATGTGAAGGGTAATGTTTTGTAAGATCACACTAACACGTTAGTTGGATGTGCGACTCAGGTATTGTCCTACGATTTATTGATGCGACAATTAGATATATCCAATGTTCGGGAGCTTGAAGACCTACTCATAAACGAATGCATGTACTCTGTACGATACCTATCGAGTCTAGAACGCGGGAGTTAATCTCGTCTTGAACAACTTCAGTTTCTGATCACCCCTATTCAGTTTCATTGGGTCCAGTCTGGTCGTTGGTGTAGATATTACTAGCACTCATAGCTCTGCTTTGCTAAAAACAGAGACAACGTAGTTACGCTAATGAAATTGTCCGCTGTTTGACAGGGTATAGTTAGAGGGAAGCTGGATCAACGACGACGATGTTTCGAGGTGGGTTTTCTTGATTTCCCACAAGGATTCTTATGACCTTGGAGCACTTTTTTGGGTCTCAATCAGGATCGATTTCCTGATGGCTCATGTTTGTGGGATCAGGTTCAATTTGCCGCTGGAAGGGACTTGAGACCGGGCCAACTGGATAATATGATCGCAGTATTGGCAAACTGGTAAAATTATTCCTTGAAGAGTGCATACGTCATCTAGCATGAGTTCAAGTTTAGTGTGGTAGAGTAATCATACATTTCTAGCTATCACTCTTCTGAAATCATTTGCACTACTCACAGGACAATTTTGATTCTCTGATTTTTAGGTTGAGCAGTTCTGATAACTTGTTGCTCACAATACAAGAAAAGATCAAATGGGCTGACAGCATGAGCGAGCAAGATCGTCGACACAAGAAGGAGGTTGAAGACAAGGCCGAGGAAATGCGAAAATCCATAAAGGTACGCTCGTTCTTTAATGGTGCTCTATTTCAGCATGAAAACATGCAAGCATAAAGGAGGAATCTTGAAGCTGCAGTTTGGGCTCACTACGGCAACCATGTTATATTTACTAATGTGAAAAAAATCAGGAGTATGGCTAATTGGCTCAGCAATTAAAACGTAACCAGGTATCAGAAATTAGTAAGAAAGAAGAAATGCTTGGAGATTGCCATGGGAAGGTTTATGGTTACTGATGCTGGATGCAGAAAACATAATCAAGAAATTTTCAATCCCCCAGTAGCTGAACTGTGCACCATATTATTAGTTTAATGGACCTTTTTTCCCTTTTTTATGTGTCCTTCTTCTACTCATGCGGCACGAGGATGGTCACATCGATGGGAGAGTATGTGTGACAAGGCTGTGTCGTTGCACAATTGTGTGAAGGCTGAGATGGAGTTACGAGGTCAGCAAGATGTCGTCTATTCAGAAGCCGGAGCTCTCATGGATTTTGTTGACGAAGATCGAAGCCGTCCCAAAAGGTAGGTATTAAGCCTTCGTTTAAAATTCGTAGCTCATGTTATCAGTAACTGAAGCTGGAGTCTCTATATCATTGGTCTCCAGTCGTCCATGGACATTTTGAGTTGTGAACAATGATTGTCTTTCAGGATCATGGTAGTGATCCGCAAGACTGTTATTAAGGTTTCAAGTTGTTGAGTGACATTCTGAGGTTGGCAATAACCGTGCTGCTAAATTAATAAGGCTTTTCCGTTCGTCGGGTAAATATGTTCACGTGAGGAAGTGTTCAAGTACATGCTTGAATACACGTGTACGTGTACTTTCCTGAGTGAGGTTTAAGAAGATACTTCTTCATCTTGTCGTTTCTCCTTTGTATTTGTGTGGTGCTTTGTAGCGTAAAATGTTTCGTAAGGTCTTATAATGGGTAGTGCAAGTTTTGATAGAAGTCTCCAAGATGGAATTTGAATGGCTGACTGTCTCTGAAATAAAGTGCTTTTTAACGTGGGAACTTTCTGTGTATGTTTCCCCTTTATAATCGAGTCTTCTTTCCACAAAATATCACTTCCAGCAGATGTTCGTGAATGTAAAGTCTTTCTGTGCAAGTCTACTATATAGGGTCTAATTGGGATATGGTGGGTGTGCAGAAGGCGTTAGCTGCGCTTATACATTCGCGTCGATGTTTTAGGTACAAAGAGATTCAGCAGTTGCTCGGAATTTTGCGTAAATCTGTTCTGGTGTCCTTGGTAGGGGACTCTGACTTGAGCCCTCTCAACAATTTTTGTACATTTATGTCATTAGAGACCTTAAGAGCTGCACAGCATATTTTACACGACAAATCTTTTCCTGTGCTCTTGCATGTGTTCAGAGTGTAAAAGTAAAGGTTACAGCACTGTAGTACTGGGGAAGTGAGTTGTCAGATATTGCGTATTGAAATACAGGTGAATTATATAAAAGGTGTTCCTTCCTTGGGCAGCTGTGCCTTGTGGTTAATGTGGTTGTTTTCATGACCAGTTGCCTGAGCTGACTTGTACGCATCCAGCTGATCCTGTGCTGGGGTTTGGAATGATGCCTAGTTGCTTGCCGACAGCCTCTAGGAGAAACCCATTCAAACACATTTTATTGTCAAATTGTGTTATCATGTCTCATGCCATGCTCCTTCCAGACACTACAATTCTTGCCTTGAGATCTGTGACCTAACATGGACTTGAAGTAGCAGTGTTCCCTGTTACTTTCCTTGCGTCACTTCCATTTCTCGAAGAAGACTCATTTTTAGGCTTTTCATGTTGGATGTTCAATTTTGAGAAAGTTATTAACTGGAAAAGTTGGATCTTCGTTTACTAAATGGAAAAGTAATGTGGGGCGCCATCATTTTTAGGATATTTTTGCATGGTGTTCATTTTAGAGCAGATTGGGAAAGTTGAATCTTTTCTACTTGGAAAAGTCTTGGGGACATCCTCAGTTCAACCCTCTTGATTCGTAGCGTACATTTTTGCATGAGTGTTTTGGCAATTCATTCATATACCATGAATTTAATGATTTTGGATTTCTCATAGTAATTTGCAACCATCTTCATAACGTAACACCTGTATACTTATCTATAAGTAATAATGTATGTTTGTCTAATAAAATTTGTAAACTCGATTTCCGAATATTTTGCAAAACTATGTGCTCCGTGGATGAGAATATCACGTGAGTGTTGTTCAGAATCTATTTGTGACTCAAATGCTTCAGCTTATCGAAATAAATTTGAGCAGGTTATCTTGAAGTGCATAGATAAAGACTAATCTGTAATGTAATTTAGGTATACTTAAAAAAACTACAAACCATTCATTAAAATTCTCATTTGAAACCCACTTGTGTGTCAACTCTGATTTTTTTTTAAAGCACATCTACTGAGATTTATAATTTTTTAAAAATAAATAAATAATCAATATGAAAAATATGAGTACCTCATATTTATGATTTCAATATTTAGAACACGTATTAGCATAACTGATACTTCAAACAAAGTTCTTAAAAGTTGTTTTAAAAAATATGATGTGTTATCTTCTATTTATCAGTTATATTTTTTAAAAAACAAACCAACAAGAAAAAGAATAGTCTATAGAATTTATTCTAAAAACTCAAAAACAATTATGTATTGTCTACAATGTTCTTGTTTTAATTGTAATTTTTTCTTATCTAACTATGCTAAAGCAGGTATGATTTTAAAAAGTTAAAAAAAATAAGAAATATGTCATATTACAAAAACTCCATCCTCTTATAAATACGCATTTAAAAATATGTACCACCCTTTTAATGATACGAAATTTTATATTATATATATAAAGTCTATGGATAAATATTCCTCAGCTTTAAAAGAATTTACTTGTAATTTCTTAAAGTAAATAATAATACACATCACAATGGTTAAATAATAATATTTTTTAGATTCCTGGTATAAAAGGATACAGTTCTTATAAATTTTTTATTATTAATAGGAATAAACTCCTAGTAACAGAAAAATTTCAATATAATCTACCAAAAAAGCAGATAATATATAAATTGTAGAAATATATATTATAATAAAAGAACTCAAAATTCTTTATATTGAAATTTGAATTTAAGCATATTCCAAGATAATAATGTCATTAATCATTTTCAAATCCACCATATATTAAATAAAAAAATATGAAATAAGAGTATTACTATTAATAACATAATCAAGAAATTAGCTTTATAACATATATTTGGATTTTAAAAACATGACTAGTAGCTATTGTTAAATTTGGGATATTCAATACAAAGTAAGTAAGTTTTTGTTAAAAGGTTTTCTTCCAATTCAAATCTTACATAGAATATTTTTTTATTCTTATATATATAGAGAGAGAAACAAAGAAAGAGAGACAGAGAACTATGTTTTTTTTTTGTTTTATTGGTTTTAGTAATAAGTGATAAAATGTTACCACCTACTATAATCAATCCTACATCCACTTGTTTATAAAAATAAACATTTACACTCAAATATTTTTATGCTACATTTATACATATAAGCATATATTTATAAATTTAAAAATAAAATAATTTTTTTCAATATATTATTATGCTTTTAGACCAAAAATTATGTCAAATGTCTTCACGCATAAAATGAAGAATGATTTACTGAAAACCAATATGTATTTATATATTCTAAACATAAAAAGTTAATATATATATATATATACAAAAGATATATCATAATGGATAATAAGCTAAATTTTAAAATGATATCAATAACAAAGCTTAAATATTGTTTTAGATTTGTTATCAAAAAAATAAAAAACAATATGATGTAAAGATATAGCAATTAATTAGAAATATATATATATATATATATATATATATATATATATATATATATATATAAATACATATATATATAATTTTATATGAATTATTTAGTTATATATTGATTTGTGTTATGCACCTTTTAATTTTTGAAATATAAGCGTATAAATTCAAAATTAAAATTCTGGTAATACTTTGATATTTGTCAAATGTTTTTACTATCAAAGTTTAAATATAATCCTTTTTGCAATGAGATTGTTAAAATATCTTCAATAGAAAAGTTGTAAATTATTATTCATGCACAGTCTTATATATATATATTTATATTTATACATTCACGCACACGCACATATATATATAATCTTTTAATTTTGAATGTAAAATAGATATAAAGTTATGATTTTGTACAAAATACATGTAGATTGTTAATCTATAAAAAGACAAAAAAAATAGGTTTATTTATATTTTTGAAATTACAATATTGAACATTTGTAAAATATTCAATTATGCAAAAAAAATTACTTAGTTGTTAAATCCCAAAATTAGATATTACAACCTATGTATTATCTTTATAATCTCCTATACTGTCTCAGAATTAATAAAAATTCTTAGAAATTATTAGGTATCCTATTGTTTATAAAATATAAAAATCTTATTGTGGTATTTACTAAAAGGATAAGAAAGTTTATTATAAAGATTGATTTCAATATTATTTTTTTTTAAAGCTTCTAAGGACTTACAAATCCTTCTACAATATTTGTAAAATATTTTTAAAACTAAAAGGAGAAGCTCAGGAGGTAAGTCTGACCAACACATCTTTTAAATGTTTTAAACCTCCTAGCAAACAAGTTTTGTTATTCCTTTATGTAGCCATTTGACTATCTATTTGTATTCTAATATATTTTTTTTTGGACAATATTTATTGATATTTCATTTTTAAAAAAAATCTCAGTAATATGTCTAGTTATGTTATTTATACATAATATTTATTGTCTATGTGAAAAAACCACCTAATTTATAATACAAGTTACATTTTATGTTATACACAATCTCACAATAATTGATCTTTTAATTTTAATATAATCTAAAAAATAATTATTGAATCAAGAGCTATAAATATGATAAAGTTCATTTTATCAAGATATCCTCTATCTAGTCTAGAATGTTCTTAAATTCTTAAAATACAATGCTCCTCTCAATCATCAATCTCTCTAAAAATAACAACTTCCAATAATGTATTGATTTTTATTAATTAGTAAAAATAAGTGCATATATGTTATTGGACAAGGCAAGGTCATGTGGTGACCAATGCAAAAGCAAACAATCTAGATTGCAAGACCTTGGCAAGGTTGATTTTTGTCCTACCTTCATCATGTCACATATGATAAGTAATAGTATATGTTAATGAATACTTTTTCTTGCAATGAATGATATTAATCAACGAAGATGTTACTATATAGAACATTGTACCTAAGTTTATAAAACAATGCCAAATGTTGGCAAGATTAATCCCAACTATAAAATCACAATCATACACAATGGACATGATTTATCCTTGCCAAAATTGACAATGCATGCATCTATATAAATATATATACTAGTAGAAACCTTTGCTGTTGGGCACAAAAGAAAAGCTATTTATTTGTTTGTGGATATATACATATATATATATATATATGGTATCAACAACAACAGTAACGAAAGATGGTATTATTATAATATAGAAGAAAAAGTAGACAAAGAATGACAAAGTTGGGAGGGAGGGAGTCAGAGGCCTATGGGGGATGGGGGTGGAAGGGAGTTGCATGCCTCGGGGACTCAGTTCCATTGCTGTTCTCTGCTTGCCAAGTGGCGCCCTCTGGGCTGCTCCCGCCCCCCCATTCCGGGCCCCCACCCCCCCCCCCCAAAAAAAAAACCCCCCCCACCCCCCCCCGACCACGTATCCACCGCGGACCCACCCCCCCACCCCCCCCCTCACCCCCCCCCCCCCCCCCCCCACCCCGCCGTGTCGGCCCCCCATCCTTATGGCCCCCAGGACATTCCCTAGACACTCCTTCGCGCCGCCCCTCATCCCGCCCCCCCGCCCCGAAGATCCGCTGGTCCCCCCTAAACATATCCCCATCGGGAGCCACAGTGCAAGGAAACTTCTTGTATCCCACCACCCCGCCCCTGCCCATCACCCATCCCACCTTCACTCTTCAACTTCTGATCTTTTCGTCAATCGTGTGTGTGTGTGTGTGTGTGTGTTTGTTCTGTCTGACATGGCCATGCCGCTTCCCCCTCCCATGGACGATGTTTTACAGGGGAGCGATGCTTGTAATCCTTACAGTGCAGTGGATTACCGAACTAAGGCACACTTAGAATTAGAAGAAGAAGAAAATCTGTCTTAGGGAGATAGGAACGCTTTCGGCGGATGTAGTAGTTCGCTAGGCGACTGCTTGCCGCTCTGTCCTATAGCTGTGTTAGTGAAGAAGAGGTTATATTTGAGGTGAGGCGAAACTGTAGAGGAAGTGAGGGCTGGCTTTAGCGCACACTTTGGTGGCTTGAAATGGGAATTTCATCCGAAGAGGAATTACTCTGGTCAGTGCTTTGAGTCAGGGAGGAGAAAGGAAGGTGTCGTCACATGGAGGAGATGTGTGGAACCGGGCCGAGGTCGAAGCGATTGAGACTAGAGGCGGATGAGGCAGAGAGATCACCACTTCCTAGTCAAGCCCGACAGGACCTATTAGTGCGCTACGACGTTGGACCGTCGCGGCTTAGTGCGCCAGAGACGAAGAGTGCAAAAACTTCTGTTCATAAATATCACGTTGTCTCCCATGCCTTGACGGTTAATCGTGTTGAATGTAGGGAAGCATGGGCGACTGCGATCACTAGAGAGGAGAAGCTCTATGTACATCATTTTAGTCAAGCAACTTGGGCCGGAGCCCGTGTTTGTGCTTTCCAATCATCGCAGGTAATGCCACCACAGTGACTAGTGTCTAGCATGAAAGATCGCCTAACTGAGGGATGGTTACTCCCAGGAGTGGGAATTAAAATCTAGTCGAACTAGACGCACTCGTCGACAGTTGTGCTTGCTTGCTACATACTTGGCGCAATTTCATGTTTGACTTGATCTGACGGCATAATATTTCCCCAATTACGCTTTCTCGCAATCAGCTTAGAAGTTTGTATAGTTATCGTGCTTCTCTTGCCGTTTATTGAAGGAACAGAGTATCTTTACAGGAAAGTCCAGGGATCCTGAAGATCTTGTGTTTGATGTTTTCCGGAGAGTCGGTCAGTTCTCTGCAAAATAGGAGCTATGCTGCTGGTATCACGAAGCGGGAATGGAAATACCTAACAGCATTTGCTGCCTGTTTCTTGACTAATATGGGTGAGATCAGTTACGAGCCTAGGAGTCCGAGCAATTGATTCATGTTCAAATATGATCTTCTGTCAAAAATCTTTCCTATCCTCTCGCGGTGCTTTCTATGTATTACTACAAAGCGCAGATGATTCCGTTTGGATTACTTGGGATGATTCTTCCCATTTGATTGCGCACATATGTGAAACGGCATACATAGTCGATAGCATAGTGTTGATTGATCCTACCTCAAATTTTATTTTTTTAATTTTGGAAAACAAGTGGATTATTGAGCTAATCAATTTTCAAACGTTATAACAACTCTGCAATGCTAATTAATTGACTGGGATCTCATGCTACCGGTCAGGGACTATATGGCAAGGTTCAATCATTCACGTAAAGTATCCCACCAGCATACTCATGGTTATGCATTGCTGGATTTGCATTTGCACAGGAAATTATCTAGCTTTTGGTGGTATAAAAATTATACCTGGAATTCCCGAGCAGAAACTTGACACCATAATTAACTTGTGTGGGTTACAGGTAGGATTTCTTCAATTGTAATTTTTTTTTTAAGTTAAAGAGTAAAAAATAAAACGTATCAATGTGTTTGGAACAGCATCATCTTAAAATGCTAAAAGTAGTAGTAAAGCCGCTCTGTTCTCGTGTTCCAGCAAGAAGTGTAGGTCAACTTTTGAAAAACGTCGGTAACTAACGACACTACAATGCAATAATGCAGTATACAATATGTTGATTGATTTTGAAAGAAGACTACGTTGTAAGTTCCAGTGTTCAAGGTTGACGTTCAACTTTGAGTAGTGGATAAATCCCTTTCGTTCGTGTAGATGAGCAGTTTACTTGGTAGCGAGAGAAGGCATATAATAATGAAGTCCTTTTTTATCTGAAGAAATTTCAGAATTGCGCATAAGACCATATCTGCACTTTACGTGCTATTCACAGAAAACTCTGATCAGGGAAATAGGAAGGAAAGGCTGCTGGAACTCTGGAATGAAACGAAAGATAAGATATACTCTCTTAGAGAAGGTAACTGCTAATAGCATAATGTTTCTTGTGATTAATGTCTTCGTTTTGCTACAAGAAAATGCTTATCAACGTGGTTGTGTGGCAATTCAAGTAGATATTGGGGGATATTCTTCTTTTTGGTAATTGTTTTGCTTGACGAATGGAGAGATCATTTGTTGCTTGTCAGATGAAAGGCAACTAGGACTCCCTCCATTTGGCATTTCTATGTACTACCACTCAACTCTTCGAAAAGAAGATATTGACACTGTTCAGGTATCATTAAACTCCTTAGCTCTTCTTCAGTATTACACCAATACCGTAGACATGACTGAAGACTGAGGAATTTAAGTAGCGAGAACTTGAGGGTACCATTGTTGTTTTTTTTTTGAGGCTTTTGGCTGACTGACAACATATTGTTAGGTACCTGCATCTTAATGAAATCGCTTAGAGTACTGTTATGGCCTGGCCCTTTCGTGGTGGTCAGGATGCCCGTACCTAGCTCAATTAGTTTTTGCTCATAACGAATTACAAGCTTTGATATGTAGTTTGAGGTCGATGCGAGCACCATGTTACTCTGCTGAATAAATTCTGTTGATCATCAAAGAATGAAGTGTCAAAAAAGTAGACGTACCGACCTATACGTCTCCTGGAGCGGCTTATGGCCGCTTTTTAGTGGACGAAGATTTGGAAGTGGGTATAATGTCATGCTTGGATGCTGAGATGGAAGTTACTCGCTATACTTATGAATAGCCTTGTAGATCTACTCGTATAATTTACAATTGGGAGTATGATGAAAAAAACATGCTTCGTACTCCCAATTATATGTCAACAAGACTGATATGAAAAGAATATGCTTCGTAGGCTTGGATGGCGCAACATGGTGTAGAAGGTTGGAATACAAAAATATGGCGTAGAGAAGAGGAAATGGAGAGGAATGGACTACCGCTGTATGAGCTGTGGATTGCATCTTCTGAAAAATTGCCCACTGAGGTCTACACTTATCGGGTATATAACCTTTTCTTTAGTCCCCCGGTGATTTCTCGAAAATCAATTTTTTATGGAAAAGTTCGACTCTGAAAATCTGGGATGATCATGATTACAATGTTAAGTGATGCATAAGATTGTTAACATGTCCTATCATTGCAGGACAAATGCGTGATTGAAGTTATTTATGGACATTTCTGTGAAGAAATGAAGGAGGTTGTGGAACATCTTGAAAGAGCTTTCCATTATGGCAACGGCCGTCAAAGAGACATGATTAAAGAGTAAGGCTTTGAGTTTTTGAAACTTCTTTTGACATGCGATTCTCCTCGGTATTTGTAAGTAGGACACGCAATGCGAATAGGGAGGTAGGTGTGTACTTTGTGCTAAAATATGAAATTTAGGAAACCTGAGGGGAAGCAGGAGATTTAGTAGAATAATTGTTTCATCTCAGGTATTTTAGATGGGAGTTTGACCATGGGGACTGATTACTGATTGCAGGTTTATTGAATATTTTAAGACTGGATCAATAGATGCCCATAAAAGAGCACAGAAGATATGGGTTTCTGTAAAGGATCTCTCGTTAGAGACAAACATCGGGTAAGTCAATATCTTTTGTTTGGTTCGTCTCTCTTCTAGATGTATTCGTTGAGTTGCAATGAACAACTCTTTTCATATTTAGCCTATTAGCAATAGAAGTTTCGAATATGATCTTCGATTAAATTCAAAAAATAGTACCATATTTTCTTAGTGGACTCGCCATGGCCTGGTCTTTGTATATCATTTTTGGGTTTAACATCTGATCGGCTTAAGGAAGACTCGCCTGCAAAAGCTAGTAACTGACGAACCTGGAGACTTGTGGGTGTTGACTTAGTTTTATGGAGACATATCGCGATCCCATCGGTATCCGAGCCGAGTTTGAAGGATTTGTAGCAGCAGTCGACAAGGTCTTTGGTTCTTCAAAATTATTCCTTTCTTTTTAAGTCATGTGCATAAATTCTTCAAGGCCCTTCTTGACTGCGCTAGCAACGAAAGTATGATTTAGTTTGTGTCTGTGATATGAATTTGATTCAGGACAAGACCGTTAAGTATTCACGTCTCGCGGAAATATCAGAACAAGTATTGCGAACGCTTCCATGGCCAAGGGAGTTTGAAAAGGATGTCTTTCATATGCCGCAGTTCCAATCTTTAACTGTAAGTAATTTTCTATTTTCTCATGAAAGTATGTCTCCGTAAGACCGAATTTGCTAAATGAAAATCACAATTTAGCTCACAACCAAAAAAGTCACTGATTTAAGTTAACCAATTTTAAGAACATCCTCAACTTTGTGGCATCCATGGAAAACGCCAAACCTTCCACTTTCTGTAGGTGTCTTCCCTCCAATTTTCAATAATAAATGTCATACGTTGGTCTGAGTACCATATGTGCACTAGCTAAGTATGAAAGTTCTAACATTTCAATAATATGGTGTGTTCATATTTGACCCGGCTTTTGACTTATTATGATATCATACTTAAAAAACACGTCTTAAAATATTGAGTGCTACGCTCAGTTTTATTTCGTTTACTCATTCTGTAAAGATGGAGAAAATTGAGCATCGGTACTGGGTGTCAAACTGGATATACTGAAGTAGATTATCCATGAAGTCTAGTCATGGAAATATATTAAGCATAGAAATGTTTTATTGAAATCGTATTTTCCTGTATCTTTTTTGATTTTTTGAACCGGACTAGCCATTTCTCTAATGCTCTCTCGGGTCTCTAACGTAAAATTCATCCAAAACGTATATCAGAATCTATCATCTCGCAAGACTAAAATTTCTATTTTTTTGCAGATGATATCTTTCGCTAACAGCAGCATTCCAATAGGAATCAACCTACCAAATTATGAAGGAGTGCGCCGGGTAAGGCTAATTGATGTTGAGTTAGTCACTAATGTCTTGTTTTCGTTCGTGATATGTTCTCTGTAATGTCCATCGCAAGTAGTGATAACTGTGTGATGTTATAGGTCATGGCGTGGTCATGTACAGATATCAGCTTGTTAATTTCTAATTTGTACACGTATTTACATAGTTCATGCTTTACGTGGGGTGCTAATATTTTGTCACAGAGCATGATTCAGAATTCTGTCACGTTCACGTTCTTTTTACTCCTATATAGATAACCCAAGAAGTTGTCTTGTCATGCAGGAAGTTGGTTTCAAGAATATTGTCTTGGAGAACATTCTGACCGATCATGAGAACGTTGGAAAGGTAGATGTCCATTATTCTGAGAGTCACCGCTAATTATGTATATATTTGTACATTTATTTTCGACATCTATTTTTACTTGACAATCTCATCACTCTTGATAAGTACTTGATGATTCTGGAAATCTTGTCAGGTGACATTCCTAATAGACGGGGATCAAGAAATCTTCAAAAAGCGAGTACAATCTGCTTTGCATATCCAAATTGCTTGTCATGAACTCCTTGGCCACGGGTCAGGAAAGCTTTTCAAGCAGAGGGATGATGGTACTTACAACTATAAATATGGAGAAGTAAATTAAACCATATCAACCTTTCATCAAATGTCATTTCTTTGAAGGTTGAGTCATCAAATTGAAAGTGTAACATCTCAGCAGTTCTCGCATGTATAGGTTTCCAAGTCCTGAAGGTAATGTCTTCATATTGACTCAATCTCTTAATAAGTATAAGAGTGTTAACGCCTTTTGTGTGAAGTGATACCTTCTCCTATACACTAAATATGAAAACCTCAGTTTTGCTACATTTAATGTTTCGACATGTTGGTTGAACTAATCGAGTTTGTGGCAATGTTTAAGTTATATTCTTCCGATTTGGTGGCTTTTGCAGATCCAGCATCCTTTAACAAATGAATCGGTGATGAAATGCTATACATCTGATCAAACATTCGACAGTGTTTTTGGTTCGCTGAGTGCCACATTTGAAGAATGTCGAGCAGATTGCGTTGGGTTGTATCTGAGCGCAGAACCATTGGTACACAATATTTTTCTCAAATTCATTTTCAGTACAGACTTTCTGGTCACTGTCTAATTCGTTAGTGAACGTAGTATCACGACCTCTATCTGCAAATAAATATTATCTGCAATTCCATTTCCTGCTTTTAGTTGGAAGCCAGCTTTGAGTTGAGGTGATGAGTGAATCCTCTTTATTTTCACTCAGAGTACATAACTGCTCTTGAACTGGTAACATCAGCACTTAGCTTAAGTTCATATGTGATTTGGTGTAGTGATATGTGGAACTGGTACACCTTCACTTCGAATTGTTGCAGAGTTGTACTTAAGGTGTATCTGTGCGCTCAGGTGCTTAATATCTTCGGCCATACTGAAGATGAGGCGGACGATGTTGTGTACGTCAACTGGCTTTGCATGGTAGGTACTCTAGTGCAATCTTTTCTGTAGATAATGGTGTTTTCCTTGGCTTTTTAAAATGACATATAGCTATAAAATTTAAATGGCCTTTCGAGTTTTTTTATAACTCAAGAAAAAAATATATAGAAAAAAAATATAAATTTTAAACTGTTTTTGGATAGATTTAATATGGAGTTTCAAAATCTGTCGAAAATATGAGGAATTCAGCTATTTCTGAATAGCCTAAATGAGAACCGCTAAGACATTTAGCAGGATTCGTCATTTGAATTGAATGTGTGTTCACAGGTTCGAGCAGGGCTAGTTGCTTTAGAGTTTTTTAACCCACAAACACGAAATTGGAGTCAGCCTCACATGCAAGTAAGTATTGCCTAACCTGACTCCTTCATTAGTTCCTGTTTGCATCTATAGGTTCATTCGATGTGGACTCGAGTTCACTTGATAATTGCTCGTTAGTTTTGGCTATCCAAGCGAAATGAAGTCAAAAACTTATAAGTGACGGAAATTTTTATTTACAGCTTTAAGCAACTGTATGTAAATGTCGTTTTAACGATGTTATTTGAAATGAGCATTTAGGATCGCATTTTTCTTGAATGTATGGAATAGTTTATTATTACCTCTTAATTTCTAAATGTCTGATATCTTTTCATTACATCTTTCTCTCTTGCTTTGAATGTCCGACATCTCGGAGATTTTTGTACTAATCACAAATTCAACTTGTCGATTTGGTCATTGCTTCTGAAATGGAACGCTGGAAACAAGGTTCAATTTCATCAATTTTGATATGGTGAATTTAATTGCATTGGAAATTATTAACGGATATCAGTATTTTTACTCGGTGTTTATCTGTGTTGTGCAGGCGCGATACGCTTTACTACGTGTCCTGTTGAGGGCTTCAGAAAATGAAGCAAAAGACGAAATTGATCAGGCTGGTGGAAGTTCTGAGCCACCCTTCCTTCAACTGGTAAGTCAAGAAACCGAGGTTATGATCTCCTTGAATAGGTCAAAAGTGCGCTCAGTCGGACTTCCTGCTCTCCGAGATTTTTTGAAACGTCTTCAAGTGTACAAAACCACAGCAGATGTGGATAGCGCACGTGCCATGTATACTGAGGTGAGGAAACTATCTTCAATCAGCCTCCCTTCTAGTCAGACTCATAGGCTAGATCATTTTGAATGAAACTTAACTTCATACTGTGATATTTGTTTTTGTTTTTGTTTTTGTTCGTCTTGAACTGTTTAGAAAAAAGTTCTTTGACAATAGTATCGTGGGTTAAAGAATCCTTAGGGTTTCAGTATGTCAAATTTAAGAATGCAACTCTGTGGTTTGTACTCAAATCTTTATTCTTACTGGCACTCTAAATACTAAATTTCTGAGAAGTTACAGTACTAGTTTTTGCCATGCTCTAGATGAAAGTAAACACATCGGAGACAGAGTTGAATGGAATTTCCATGCGAAAGAGTTTACTCTGCATCTTCACATCTCATCACTACCAATGTTGTCAGTTCTAGTTCGTGTTCAGAATAGTCGAATATTTTCTTCAGAATAGTCGAATTCAATTCGTCTAGCTCGAGCCAATGTAGGTCAGAGGTTGAAGGCACCAAATCTTAGTGGTGTTTACATCTGTTATGTCTGGTTTCGATGTCCAGATCTCTCAAGTGCCAGACAATTTGCTCGCCTTGCGACGGATAGTCTTAGTCAAAAAAAGGCCTCGGCCTCTACTTGTTCAGGTAATATTCCGATCCCCTCAGTTTTTATAAAATGCAACTTTATGTGTGACTGCACTTAAACCTGGTTCAGTCCTAGTTGTTTATGAAAAGAATTTTGGTTTGTATTGTAGAAGAACGGTACCTGAAGGTTTTCAAATTATTGTAGATAAGTGTATCGAAAGTTGAAAGTTCTCAAAATGACCTTGGTCGTCAGAGGACAGAATCATTTGGTTATGTTAACTTTTCGTGTGACGTTTCTACATTAGTGGAACCAATTTCAGCTGGGCGATACTCAATGTGTGACATTTACTTAAATGAATAGTCGTTCGTGTTTTTCCTTGCAGGTGAACACAGTCCTGGATGAAAGCTGCGAAGAAGGTGTGCGGTTGATAGATTATCCGACTTCATTTGAGGGAGTCATCGCATCGTTTGTCAAGAGGTTTGAGGAATGGACGCTTACTTGCTGAGAATTATCATTCATACTCGACAAAGTAGCAGTTTGAAATGCGGCAGAGATATTTGCAGCTCGTAGTCGTTTACAAAGCGTCATTGCTGAGCTCAAATTTTTAGGTGTTAAAACGCCACAGTAATGTAGAAGTTAGCTCAGAATGAAATGGAGATTGTAATCTCGCGAATTCAAATTTCATACTCTCAACTTGGCATGTGGTTGTGTGTGAGTAAGGCAGTAATTTTTCAGAAAAACAAGAACTATATCACAATAATAGTAATAATAATAATCGTCGTAGAAGTAATGATAGGAGTAATTGTTCAAAAGTAATTTTTAGTCTATCCTAGTCTATCCTATTCCTGAATATATAATAGTAGACAGAAGATGTTGATCCAAGTATCATTTGAAACGTCTTGTAGACTTTTGAATAATAGTCTAGGTCCATAGAATTCGTCACTTTTAACGGCCATTTAAATTTAATAAATCTTATAAAGTTTTATAAAGTTGATTACTTCTAACAATTTTAACAGTATAGTACTAATCACAATAGACGTAACTCTTTCATTCAAATGAGTTGATTATTGAGTGAAATAAGTCTGTCTGGGGCACAACAAAAATTTGATCGAATGCAACCAAATACTATACAGCGAAAAAATAAAATGCACATCCCATTTTTAAATGGTGAACTTTGTGCGTTTAGCTTTCAAACGGACACGTCATGGAAGGTTTAAAGTAATAGAGAAGAAAAGCATGTATCATTTTGTCATAGTAGAACCAGCATGGAAGATTTGAACTAAAATGCTAACAGGATAAGAAACTGCCACAGAAAGATCAATTAACAAATCTGGGACTAACAAGTACATTGTATGAAGCAAAGCTTTGAAAGCTGCTCCAACCTTTCTGCAACTACATCTCAATATATTAAGCAAATTGCAACAAAAATATCCTTCAGAATTGTGATGTATGCACTGGGTGCTATATGTCGGAAGGTCGGTCGAAGATGCATTTGAAACTGGCGAAAGAAAAACGTAATCCCAAACGAAGTGCCAACTGCGTCATAGCTTGGTCACCTGTGAGACAAAATTCCTCTAAAACACAGACACCAGTCCGACGAATGCAAATTCCAAGGTCGAGATTAGTCCCGACCCAAAATTTCTCTGCCTTTCTGCTCAAAAGTCAGGGTATCAAAAGCAGCCAATGATTGTGTGATTTTACAAACCCTACGGAGATTGCACTTGAAGACTAGGCTGAAGATGGAGAGGAACCTGGCAATGACTAGATTGAGAAAATCGTCTGTCAACTTCTTGCGGAGCTAAGCACTAGCTGACAGCAACTATGGAAAAGAAAAGAAACGAAAAGAAAAAAGAAAAAAAACTGAATCTTCGCATTCTCTATTCATCTATAGGATGTAAGGGGTTTTTTAATATTAACATTAAAAATAAAATTAAAAAAATTAAAAACACACACGCACACTTACCAGATGGTTCTCATGTCCAACAGACCCGATATTATGCCGGACTAGCATGTGTAACGATTTTCAGACATCTCTTACCAGCCAACAGGGACGCTGATACAAATTGGAGGTCGGACTTGTGCACGAATCAAATCTATCTAAGCCTTAGCAGCAGGCTTAGTGGCAGCTTCTCGATTCTTGGCAGCCACTTTGTCAGCTACCTCCTGGGCGGTCAAAGGGAGGTAGTATATATGTGGTTTCGATCTTGTTTTCCTGAAAAGATCATCCAGGGTAGGAGTCCTCTCGACTTCTGTACACATAAGCGTTCAAAATCACAATAATCAGTAGCTACCATGGTTCCTTGTAAGCCGAAATAAATCGAAAGGGTAACCAACTTGCTAAATCGAGTGATCTCCCCTATTTTCAGCAAGACCCATCCTAAAACCCAGAGAAAAGAACAGAAAAGAAAGAAACAAGAAAAAAAAGATTCTATTCTGAAAAATTCCTAAGCAACAAAAGATTTAGGTAGTAGCAGCCGCAACTAATACAACACGGTGACGATCATCAAAATGTTGACCATCTTGTCTGAACAGAATATTCACCCACTTCACGATAATCTGTAAATCTTTGCTTACCTTGCTTATTAGTCTTATCCTTGGAAGGCAATGGAAGGGGTGGGGGAGGAGGAAGTGAGGCTGCTCCATCTGTTGAAGCCTTTGAGTTAGCTGACATGACTCCTCTAGGAGTACTAGCGTTGGTGGAAGGAGCTACTGTTGGAGTTGAAGCCACAGCTGCGGATGCTTTGTCACCATCACTTCGAAGTTTCACATCGGATGGATCGACAAATTCAGCTGTTAAAAGTCGTCCTCCTTGTGGAGGCCACTGAAGATTGTACAGTGCGTTGCGTGTGGCTGTGGCCTCCTCAACAGATGAATACTAAACAGGCACAAATACACATCGTTAAAAGAGTGTACTGAGAATAGTTTTGTTAACAGCTCACACAACTTTAAGAGAACATTACGCCAGAGTAAAGGTCAGCACAACTTGAACTTGTTGGACGGGAAAAACACAACTCTCGGGAAAACCTGAAACCATGACTTCAGTCTAAACCTCATACATAACCTTGTTGACAGAGAAACTAACACCAAACTCCCGCAAATGCTATAAGTTGAGTAAAGAAAGACGTTACATTCTGAAAACAAATATTTCAACTGAGACAGGAAAGAATAGTAAATCTCAAACATTCATAAAAACAGGATATAAGTTTAGATAGTGAATTATCAGATGAATTTGTGCAGTATGATAATTTGAGAAGAAAAAGGAGAGACCCAGCTATTTCAACTTAAACAACAGAATTTCGCTACACCAAGCCAGAATTAGTCCCAGACTGAGAGGGAGGTTGTAGGGACCAGAAATAATTGACACTAAAATAAAGTTATGACGTGTTTAAGTTGAAAAACGATATCAAAATATATAACTTACTGTGACATAGCAGTGGGTTTTGATTTGGTCCATCCAAATATCTTGGACCGTGCCTGTTAGTGCAAGTAGCTCCTTGACGGCTTTGAAAGTGAAGGGTCTTAAAAACCTATCAATCTTCAACGATGTTGTGGCGGGCTTGGCACTAGGTGGCACTGCATATCATCCAGCAAGTACAAACACATAAGATGAACAGACAGTATTCCGGCAAGATGCTCATCTGTTTATAGCATTCTAATCAGGCAAATAATCTTGTTCCAGCGAAGTAAATAACAATCGCAATTCCCAGCTGGACAAAAAAACTTGTATGTTGAAGTAAATGAACCTGATGTCGATAACAAAGATGAAACTGCCTTACCAACACGTGTTTTTTGGCTCTCTCCGTTGCCTGAGGCTTCCATTCTTACTGGGGCAGTCCTAGTAACGGCCAACTTGTCCGAAGGTATACTCTTGGGAGTAAGCGCTGCGGCAGATGAAACAGGAGCATTCGGAGAAATGACTGCATCCCGAGAGGTTGATTCTAGCAACTCGAGAGGTTGAATCTCTTTTCCCGGCCCCTTGCCATCTCCATCGCCTTTAGTTGAATTCCAGCGTCGTCGTTTTGTGGGCTCCGAGGCAGTATTTTCTCCATCTACTATTCAATGGAGGAAAATCGAAACGAATCCACAATGATTAGAGTTACAACAAGGTGCAAATACTCCATTTAAAAGCACAAACCATCAGGGCTGCTACGATACTCAAACTAATCAAAAGGAAGCCAGATTGTAGGTTGGACCAGATCCTGCACTTATGAATACACTATATGAAAGATAATAAGCTGATAGGGAAGCTGTTACAGATGAACGCATGGGAAGAGAATGTGAACAAGAAAGAGGGCCAACCTGCCCCCTTTCTTTTCGATCCTTTCAGGGAATCCGCATCAACATCCATCAGCGTCCCATCGTTTAGTTTTTCTGCGGCTGTCGCTTCGTCAGCTTCTTTGATGACATCCTCCATAGGTGCCTCGCCCATAGGATCATCACTTTTGCACTCCAACGTTTCTACAACCTCCGCATCACGTTTCAAGTCTTCACCAGCAACAACCAAAGTTGAAATTTCCTCCGACTTCACTACCGTGGTACTTGTCTCTTCCGTCGTCGTAACCGCGGTTGCTGATTCTTCCAAGCTTGTAACAGTGGTGCTCGTTGTAACAATTCGTTCCTCCTGTACAATCAATTGCCCTCCTGTATCATTTAGGTCTTTAGAGACAACTGAAACAATCTGGTCTTCCGCAGTCGTTACCACAGTCTTTTCAACGGTTCTAGTGACAACCTCCTCCTCCTCTCCCACGGCCTCATCCACAACTCCTCCAACAGCTGGCACTCCATCGGTAGACCTCTCAGACAGAATTTCTTCATGCACTGTATGAATAATCTCTTCCCTTACTTCCTGTACTTGAGGCTCTTCCTTTCTTTCAAGGCTTTCATTCGAGACTTTCAAAACAACCTCTGCAAGAACACCTTCCTCAACAGCGTCTTCTTTGATTTCTAAAGGGGATTCCCTATTGGCGTGCTTATCTTCATCCTCTGCGATCTCCAGCACAGGTTCTCGGCTTTCTCCTACTGCAGTTACTGGTTGAGTAACGAGGACTTCCGATGCAGTGGCTATCTCGTCTGCCTCGACTCTCGCGTTCTGAGACGCAGTTTCTGACTTCTCGGTTTCTTCAGCTGCAATGCTATGGAATGAGGTATCTTCTTCCTGAGATTTGGTTTCTGCATCTGGTACTGACAGAACCGTTGGTTCCTCTGTCGGATGTTCAGAAGGCAAAGCAATGTTTTTTGGACTTCCCGGAACTTCAGTTTCATCCATTGTTACAGCGATAGCAGGTCCAGAAACCACATTATACGCATGCTCTTCTACAGCTGCATGCGCATGATCCTTAGAATGTTTCATTTTGACTGGAGTTACAGGATCAGGTAGCACAGAATCCACAGGAGCAGGACCATTAGTTTCAAATGTTTTTTGCTGCTCCATTTCTTCCTGCCTGAGTACATCTTCAAGTCGATCGACCAGATCCTTTTTCAAACCCTTGATTTGGATGCCACGTTTCCGGAGCTCCTCACGCAGTTCCGTAACCTTTAACTGCTCGGGAGTGCGATTCCCTAATGCCTTCGACGGTGTCACCATTATGTATCTCAATTAGATCCTGAAAAAATCAAACTCAAAAATTACAATCACATTGAGGTAAGCAAACCCACATCACTCTATTCAAATGAGTGGATCCGTTAGGTGGTATGTACTCGAAATAAACATTTATTCATGCACTTACATCATACAATAGCTCGGCAGGTACCGCACAACATATAAACGAGGACTACAGAGTCAAGGAATGGGCTGTTTCGAAGGCAATAAAGCGGGTTACAAGAGTAGCAATGGATGAAGTAATCACTATTCTTCATTAACACACCACCACATTCGGGACACTGTAGACAAAAATCCTAACCTTGACCCTGCCAGCTACCAGAAATCAAGATCTACAAAGTTAGCGGGAGTTTCAGACATCGTTCACAAAGTGCAGACACCGTAAATGTTCAATCATTATTAGCAGACATAAATCTGGAGACACTGCGAAAACGGCAGCACTCGTGCATCCTGCGCGAGTTGAAGCACAAGCGATCCGTTGAAGATATTAAAATCCTAACAGAGCACCAGCAATATATATATATATATATATATATCCTTCGATCACAATGCCGACTGTATAACTGTATAATCCCTTCTTTGCACAACTGGAAACCCTTCCATCACCGAAATTCTTTGCGCCACGCATCCACCCAAATTAAAACTCGAAGAACTACACCAAACCCTAATCAACACCAACCTGGACAAAAACAGAGCAGCAAGAAGAAAAAATTGACGAACCTGCAGCAGAGCTTGTGACTGCATTCACTTCCTTCGAGCGAGCCCTTCCCTCCGCCGTTCCTCCACCGTTCCTCCGCCCTCACGCAGCCAAAAAAACAACACAATGCGAGCAGCATCACGGCAGCTCGCAAAGGACAAGCCCAAACACAAAGCACTCGGTCACGAAGTGTGCGGGAAGGTGTTTGAATGTGGACATTACGGAGCGTAATGGCACCCTCGTCCATGACTGTTCCACCGTGAAACTTTCCTCCCCCCCCCCCCCCCCCTTCTCCTCTGACATGGCCTTCCCCTTGCGAGCCCAGCCATTTCAGTCAGTTTTGAAGAAGAAAAACCATGAAGCATCTTTACGTGAAGTGCATTTTGTTACAAATCATGAGCATAGAAAAACAATTGTAGTGAAAATATATTTATACATACACATGTGTGTGTATGTATGTATATATTTATTTATTTGATCAATTTTAAAGCTAAAATCTATTTCATCTTATAATTGTATTTTATGTATTATTTTGTTGTTTAAGTTATATATATTTAAGCAGTATTTTTTTCTGTTTTGCGTCCTTGATAATAACAATACCAACTAATAACCATGTATGTTGATTATTTAATTGAGATTAGTTGGTATTGTTATTATTACGGATGCAATTGTTTGAAATCCTTATTAATAAGCATTGTACTTGAAGAGAAATTTATATACTAGAATGTTTGATTTTTTTGATTTTTTTTGAAAAAATAATGTAAAAAAAATAAATTGCAAAAGTATTATGATTTTTGAATCCACCAATTGAATGAATAGTTTTTTACGATTGCAACTTACCCTGCCCATTCATATAAAAGATCAAATAACATTTGATGCAAGTATGCACTGACAAGATTGCAATAGAGTATTCTCTCTTGTAAAAAGTTGCAAAACTTTACAAAAAGGTCATACAAACTGGATGAAATTAGAAGTGTGTAAAGAACTTCTAAAAGTAAACTATTTATTGTTTATTTTTAAACACGTATGTTGATTATTTAATTGAAATTACTTACAAACATTTGATATTAACTCATTGTCAAATAAAGTGACAAATTTATGATTTAAGATCCATTATTTTAAATCATAAATTTGGATATTAAATCATAATTTTTTTGCTTTATTTTTATAGCACTAGTAAATGTATTTGAGATAAAAATAACAATTTAATGTACAAGTATGATATAATTATCTTAAAATATTATTTATTTTAAATGATATTAAATTTATTTATTTGTTTATTTATTTATTTTAAAATAAATTTTAGTATATTCATAATTAATAATTGTAATATGTATTACTAACAATATATTTGTATAATAAATATGTATACATGTAAACATCTTAATTATGTAACTTTGCTAACATTGTGAATCTTTATTTTAGGAGAATATTCTTACTAACTATCCTTATTCGTAGAAGAAAATAAGGAGAATTTCTTACTAACTATCCTTTTTAATAAAAATATTAATATATTAAATATTAATAGATTATGAACTTAGTATAAAGATCTCTTAAATCATAAAACTATATAATATTAAAGAGTATGTATATATATATATATATATATATATATATTATTTGTTTATTTATTACAATTTCAAATAAAAATTATTACTTATATATAGATATGATTTTATTATGTAAACAAAATAACTTGCAAGATTATACTTTTCAAGAAGACTAAAGCTTTTAATAAAATAATTGAGTTATATATATATATATATATATATGTAAGTTCTTAAACTAATTATCTTTCAAGAATATAATGTATTGTGACATTTAAAAGATTATGGAAAAAATAAAATAAAATAAAATAAAAAATCAAAGGAATAGTCAAATCTACATAACTACTATATAGTTTTTTCTAGAATATATAAATCATAAAATTGAGAATATGATGTCTTCAACAAATTCCGTTATTGGTTGACAAATTATACCCCACTAAAAGTCAGGCCAATAAATCAAGTTTATTTCCAAAAAGAAACCTACACAAAGTACTTCAAATGAGGTTTTGGAATCAACCCACACAATTATGAACAACAATGTTTATTGCTCATCCTTGGTTGTTTATCTTAATTTCCTGCAATGCACATCAAAGACAAGAAAATGTTTCCATGCACATCAACCTAAAACTCATGTTGATAAATTCAATGATTCCAAGTAATTTTATTGATAGGAATTTGCCACTGCGGAACAAGGCCATGAATTGGGCCTTATTGTAAAGTTACCCTAAGTGGCGGAGCAGAATAAGAAGGGAGCAACTTTATTAGGGCACACGTGTTCAGGTCCAGCCGGTGGGAGATATCCGGGCAGGGAGGATCGTTCCTCTGGCGTTCAAAAGTTATCTCAAGGGATATGAACGTCTCGTTCGCTACCAAAGCAAACGAAATTTCGGCTTCTAGGTTCGGATCCGAAGCAAGGAATCGCGAGCGTTTAATTGATACCCGGGACGAGGTCCGACCACCCCTTGCTGCCGCTCTTCGTCCCACTTCTGCGACAGTATGCGGTAGCCAGCGGCAATCGACGTCCCGCGGCACGGCCAAGGTGGGGAGGAGTTTTGAAACTGTCAGCATGTGGGAGGCGGATCACCCTTTGCTTTGGGAGGGTTGATGGCTTGCAGAATTGCCGAGACAAGCTCCTCCGTGGAAGCGCTCGCTCCTTCCTCAAGCTGCCAATTATCAGACACACCACGCTCTTATCCTTGCTTGAATCCGCTGGTGATCTTATATTTACTATTTGTATAAAGTTGCGGCGAAATAATGTTTTAGGAGCGTTTCTTTTTTTACCTTAAATTGTTTTTATTTTTATTTTTATTCGCATCGCGGTTGGGACGTCCAAGTATGTTTTGAAGCACTGAACGCGACCTTAAACCGGTTCCAAATTTGTTCATATTTTCAGCGAACCATTGTTAGAATCACGTCTTGCTACTATGTGTAGTCGTGATTTGTTGTCTTATTAGGCATGAACTAGGCAGAAAAATTCTTAACTGCAGGGGACTCGGTAAGAGATGGTGAATTAAACGAGCAGTTACCTGAACGGTGACGAAATGGATGGAGCTCTCCCCTACCGTCATCACATTCGATTGCATCACCTCCACTTTGCATTCTTCAAGTGCATTGAGCACGCTCAACACATGGCCTGGCCTCCTCTCTACTACGATCTTGATCACTGCTCGACTCCCCAGGCTCTGCACTTCCACCTCTGCCGCCGCTGCTTTCTTCCCTGCTTGCTGCTAGCATGCCACCGCCAACCATTGTTACTTCGGTGATGGGAGGAAATCAGTTCATGTATATAAAAAAAGCAAAAGAAAAAAGTTCGGTATTGTGGAGGGCTCAAATAAGAAAATCTTGAGAGAAATTTGGAGTAGGTGCGTGCATGATGTTGATTTTACCAGCTGTGGATATTGCAGCTGACAAGTGCAGTTTGTCATAGCAGAAATTTTGTATTAAGATCACATATAGTTGAAGGTTTTTTATGTTAAATATAACTTACCAGCTTTGATTCCTGAGTGACCTGGTCTGATGGCGAATTGACGGCTGAATGGCCCTCTCGGCTGGGCGAGGTGGAAGAAGGCGATGAGGTGGTGGTGGTGGCAGGATTAGTGCCTCGATGATCGGGTGCGTCGCAATCCTTAGTAACTGCATCTGTTGGCGAGTCTTGGTGGACGGAAGCGGTGTTTGCGGATGTAGAGGGCGACTTCCGTTTGAGTGACCGTATGAAAGGGGATCCTGAGGCGGTGTCCTTGCATGCCTGAAGATGCTTCAGCCGCTTCTCGAGCTCCAAGACATAATCAATCGTGTCGCCAACAATGGAAGCTTTGTCTTTCTGTTAAGGGTCGTACACTCCTAATAGCTATAGTGAGCGTTTTCCTACATAGTTCGAGCGCAATGTGGCTAAAGCTGACCTAATCGCAACGAGAACAAACTGCCATCTAGTCACCAAAAATGATTCTGGAAATAAAGGATAACTACGACATAATTTTCTGAGCAACAGAGAGTGATTTTATTACCTTGGTGGCTTTAGGGATCATCGCACGGAGTGCAGAGAATTTCTCATTCATTTCCTCACGGCGTTGTCGTTCAGCGAGGATGTGATTTTCCCGCTGAAATTGACTGCGGTGCGGGCTGCGCTCGGTGGCGTAAATCTCACTGCAGAGCGCGCGGTACGCTAAATTCATGTCTTGCGGCTTGGATTGAACTCCAGGGCTGATTCCGATTAAGGAGTCTGTTCCTACATCGTCCAGCTGATATAGCAAGGAGTTACCAATAGGAGTGGTGGCTCGGGAGCTTACAGCAGAGGAAAACTGAGGCGTTGGCATGATCGGATCGGCGAGGTTGCCATATACCATGAAATCCCGGAGAGCCTGGATTTGAGACGACGACTGAACCGAAGGTTGAGGCGGCGAATATGAGAACTGTGATGTGCTCGGCAATTGATGTGGCAAGTGGTTCGTGTTGTAGTTTGTCAAGCAGCTCAGGGAATCGACGTTGTACAGCTGGGTAGTCGGCATCCAATTGTAAGAGTTGGACATGAAGTCGCCAATCTCGGGCTCCATCTTCAAGGCGCCTGGAGCTGGGGCAATTTGGTCGAATATGAAATGGTTCAAAGGATCTTGTAGTGAGTTAGGATTAGATTTGACGTCAGAGAGGGTGGTAGCTGCACCAGATGAGAGCGTTGATGTCGTTGGTGACGCCGACGTTGTCGAGGTGGTGGTACTGAACCTATTTCCTTGCAGAAGATCGTAGAGGTCTTCACTGAGGAGAAGTGACGACGGTAGCGCAGGTTGGGCTGCCGATGTTCTCCGCTGATCCATTCAGGTTGGAAATTTTCCAGGCTCTACGGTTGCAGAGATGTGATCCCTCCGAACGCCGAGGCTGGATCATGCCCTACTACTTTGAACCGACCATGCGGAAATGTCATCTCCCAACAGCCTTAGTTCGTAGGTCATAGTGCAAGGTGTTTAGCTAATCCTCAGCATTTCTTCGACAAAAATCATTCATTTACCACTTCATTTGCAAATCGATCACAAACACAGCTTCTACAACCAGAAAAAAGAATTACAGAAACCAATGTCGGCGAGCAGAAACTCAGTTCTCTCACGATGACAATGGTAGAAGGATGTCCTAGCCAGGTAAAAACCTCCGCTTCAAACCTCACATCGTTTACATTGTTTCATTCCAATTCCAACGGAATTCAGACAAAAGCGAGTCAGTTCCTTCACATGAATCTTGCACCTAACAAAATCTTCATTATCTACGATTGCTCTGCTGTTACCACTATCGTTCGATATTCAGAGAGTGCAGCTTCACTTGCAGGCATTTGAAATAGAGATGAATGCCTCCCAAGATGAACTTTTCTTTCGTCTTCTGAAATATCCAGCCTCACGGAGATCACCAAACCACGATCACGAAGAAATCAGAATAAAAGTTAAGGTCTATCAGTGACAATTCGAAGTGCAATCGTGTTGACAGAGATCACTCTGCCGACGTTCGACAGCAGGCCATGAAGCTTGACTTAAAAAACCCAAAGCCACGAAGTTACAGGACACACTTGGGTCTTGGAGTGTAGTAGAGTCTTGGAATGGAGTGACCTCACTCATCAACACAATGACCAACTAATTGATCTTATTCACCAGTACGAGCTGCTGCCCCTGCCTTCTTCAAGTACCGTGGTGTCCTGCTTGCACCAGCCAAATCAATCCATCCATGCTATCTCTCTTCAATGTTGAGTTCAGTTTAATGTTCATGGCTGTGGCTTCGCAATGACAACTATTGCCACCGATAATGAGATAAAGGACAAACAATCATGTTGAGTAAACAGTTAGTTTTTTCCCCACAGTTGCAAGGACCCTCCAAGTACCCTCTAAGGGTAATATATTGTCCTCCTCCTCTTCAAGAAAACTGTAAAATCATCCCTACACAATTTGGGAGCCCAAGCAGCACCATGAATGTGTGGAGGATTACAGACCATTGGATGACATTTTGTAAGGGCAGAGGCTGAGGTAGCCAGCCTTATGTGTGTGTGTACAAATGGTACCGTGTTGTGCTACAAGCAGTTCCAGCATAATGGCTTTGCTCTAGCAATTCATCAAGTGTACTTACATTTGAAGAGCTAGAGAGGACACACAAATTCAGGTACTACGCATAACACTACTACGCATCAAGCATTCCCCTTCTTCACTATTTCTGGACTTCGAAAACTGCAAAGATTGAAGAGTCACTTTTCGGTTTTAATGTCCCATGGTACTGCTTGATTAGCTCAAGCAAGGCTTGAACATTCTGGTAGGAATTCTCCCCTGGTTCACATTGGAGTGAAAAATAGAAACTTCTGCTTAATCCCTCACACATCTCTCGGATTTAATCTACTTTACATTAATGGGTCTCACCCATTTTACTTTGTGCTTGAAATTACTGGAGCACCTGGGTTGTGCTTAGAAGATACTTTATTGTTGTTTATCCAATAAAGTAGAACCAACCAGCTGTCATATATCCAAAGGGGTTTCTTGTACTGAAGGGAGCTAACAATACAGTCCTTAACAGGGCAGTACTATATCTTGTTGCATACAGGACTCTCATCATTTGCTCCTGGTGCACCCACAGTTGATTTCCAGGGTTTGGCTTCAGCCCACCTTTCCAACATTTCTAGGACTACATGTGATAATACCACTACTACCCTGCATTAGCTCATCAGGTAACCTACTCATCTACAAAGACAGAATCAGTTAGTGACCCAAAACATATAGAAAAAATAATATTATTATTATTAAAAAAAACCTACATTTGCTTGCACAAGTAGTATGTGATAATGCACCTATTGTTTCAGTCGCTTTCCTTTTTTTCATAGAACTGCTGTCATTTACTCTCCATCTCAGATATATGATGAGTGGACTGATCACATTAAAAAGTCATACTTACAACCCATTTTTTTCTGTCTGCTCAGGTTGCCATTGGAGTTGTGTGGATGGCACAGTAAGGTGGGGTCCAGAGTATGATGAAAGACCTTAATGGCACTGATGCCCCCATTCTCCACCTGTTTTGAAGATGATATTAAAAATAAATAAAATAATAAAAATAATATAATGGTCTTTGTACATACAACCAGTGCTTGCCTTTCAAATGTCAGTGTGATGGAGGGGGGGTAAATGATGGGCTAACTTACTACTCGTTGGGCTCATGATAGCCAGTGTCTGCAGAATTAGACCCTCAACCTCTCATATTTTAATCTCTTCTCCCCTCTGTACCAAAATGTTTCCAGGAGCCATGAAGTGTTTGAAGCCAAGCTTTGCTTCAAACCAAATTGAACACTAAAAAGATTAAACCCTGTCTTCAAACTTGTCTAAGGCCAAAGTCCCATGCTCTTAAACCCTAAACCCTAATACCAATACTGATACAAATTTCCTGTGGGTTTTAATAGTAATATGATTGTGATTAATTATGGCTTTTCTGGGTTCTCACCAAAAGAATCCCTCTTTCCAAACAAACCCAGAAATTGTTGTATCCCATGCTTTTTCATTCTCCAAGTAAAAAATATAAGGGTTTAATCTTTTTAGTGTTCAATTCAGGCTGAAGTACAGTTAGGTTGTCCTATTCTGAGTAATAAAACAAAGTTCTCTTTCTTCTTCTCCTTCTTCTACTTCCTCTGCTTCTTCTTCTTCTTCTTGTCCCCTTTACCAGGTTTGGTGTGCCATAGGTCTCCAAAACTTGCTATACCAGAAGAATCTGAAGGCAGAACAAAGTACTTTAGATCGTTCATATCTGTTTGCATGGGTAAGATGTACTTGAAAAGGCTGATTTTTGTGAATTTCATGATAACTTTTCATGATAGATTTAAACTTTAAACTTTCACAATCAGTCAAGATGTTTTATTTAGCATTTTCTAGGAAGAAATGGTTTTTTGAATTAAAATAATGTTGTAATTTTCTCTTATTATTTTTAAATTAAATAATCGAAGTTGGTCCCAAATTTCTATAATAATAATAATATTTATATTTTATATATTTTTTGTATTGACAGAAACCATTTTATTAAATTAGTGCTAGCAAGAAGTACAAAGCATTGCTTCCATACATGTCAAATGTCTGTAGGGTTAGGGTGTTTTAAATACCAAGATCTTGTAAACCTCAATAATGTAACTCGTTTTCTACTTCCAACAGTGTTTATATCCCATTTTCAATTGATTATAACATTGTTTTTTAAGGCACTTTCATTCTATTTGGCAAAATTAGTTTGAACAGTTATACCGCTTCATTATTTGGAGGCATTGAAGTGATATTCATGCCATCATGATTGCTCAAGTGTGAATGTAAAAATACCATTTTCATTAATTTTTATGTATGTATGTACGTATGAGGCAATAAATGAGGAAATGATTTGTTTGATATGATACTGTGTTTTGAAATCCAACCTCAACACTAAATAGAGAAATTCAAAAACATTATTTGCTTTTAAAATAATACAATTAAAAAATTAAAAAAATTTCTTCAATTAAAAAAAAGCTAACAGCAAATTCATCTTTTTCTTTTTTATGGTATTTTAAAAAAATTATCAACATTCTCTAACCACTTAAAAACATTTCTAGTACTCATTTGTAAAGTGCTTATATCTTTGCAAATCTTAGTTACAACATGCCTCTAACAAAATATTTTAAGTAGATATTAAAATGAACACACTATTATCTTTTATTTTTACAGTATATTCAAGTGAATGATATTTAAACAACCAAATCAAAAAATATCTATAATAAAATACTTTTTGGTTATATGCATAAGATTTGGAATACAACAGAATAATATTGATAAATAATTTAAATTGAAATTAAATATTAATTGTACTAATTTTTCAAAGTGGAAGAAACCATATATATATATATATATATATATAAAAGAAATATCTTTGAAGCACATGATGCCACTACTACCACAACCCATGGAGAAAATTGTTGAAACTAACAGAATCCTAGACCTTAGCTGGTAGAAAGCTCAACAATAATGCTTTTATCAAAATAAAAATAAAAATCCCAAAAACATTTCACCTATTTCATTCTCATTTTGTGTAGGTGACATTAAAGTATTTAGAAAAGGGAATATATTCTTTTTCATGCAACATGATGATTTGGTGAAAATAAGTAACACAGTACTGGGTTGTTTAAAAGAAGGAGAGAGGAGAAGGGGATGGCATTGTGAATCAGAATGTCCTACTGCATAGCCAACATGTAAATTAATTAATCAAGCATGATGCATAAGAAATAAGAAAAAGTGAGAGGGAGAGATGGAAGAGTTTTTTACACTGAAAAAGCAAAGGGAAAAGTGAAAGTTGAAGAAGTGTGTGGGTTAAGGGGGGCCATTATAATTATTATTCATTATTGTACATCTGCAGCATCTGTGGCTTGGGGGGCAGCTACACAAATCCTAACAGCTTTCACCACTTGCCATATGACCAAGTGAACACCCCATCACCACATGTCCTATGACCGAAATACATACTCTATCACCACATATCCTATAATCGAGTACATACTCTATTACCACATGTCCTATGACCAAGTGTACACCCTATCACCACACCCCTCAACACTCACCCATCCAGCTCCACCTTCATCTTTGCTCTCTCTGAGGGGTGTCTAGATAGAGAAGTCTAGGCCCCTATTCTTTCTTCATGTTCAGGTTGATTATTAACACAGTTTTAGATCAGGTATGTAAAGTGGATTATCATTGATTGATTGATTAATATGTAATGTAATAGTAGTTTTGATATTAGAATTTGGGTATAGCTTGTGCCATGCAATCTGCCATCCACTTGTCAACATAGTTTTTATTTATTGCCATCACAATTCACTACTCATTCTACAATTTTAGTTAGTTATTTTTAAAAATATATACAACTACAAAAATTGATGAAATTTTTAAATATTCTTATTTTTTAAAAAAATTATAATGTTAATTAAAAGTAATTGTGGTGACAAAAACAAAAATTGTGGTGGCAATAGCAAAACTGTGGTAGTATTTGCAACACCCCATATTTTACTATTATACTTGTGAAGGTTAGAATAGTATAGGAGCTTGTTTTCTTTTTTTTGTATTTCTTTATATATTTATTGAGAGTACATTAAAATATGTCTTGTGGTGATGAGAAGTTCAGTGCCATAAAAATTTATCTGTATGCTCACGTGATCTGAAGAGGTACATGCATTTCAGATCAACGGGTTTTTACTCAATTTCTTAAAATTTCATGCGTCAGGGATTGGAATGGTTTTGTTACTAGATAATTATTGTAAACATTAAAGACCCAACAAGGATCAATGAATAGATTTGACTCATGAATGCACGTTTTGATGTTGCCAATAGAATATTCTTATTTAATTACAGTAGACATCTATCAAATAATGACAGTAAATTATAAATTAAGATCCTTTAATCACTACAAATTTTTGCAGTGCAACATACAAAACAATTTATGCTTGTATCCAAATCTACATAACCTCGAAATTGTTGTATTCTTACCATGATATTAAATCCTCAAAAAAAAACAACTCATCTGATAACGTCTCACATCCATCATTACCTGAAAGATTCAGTGGATCGACACACTTAGAAGATATATCACATATTTCGGTAATAAAATGTAAAACAGACAAAAAAAATTGGATAAAATTCTGGTAACAGACTGGAGAGGGTGAAAAAATACGATTGGGCACAATTGGTTACACTATGAAACAGTTGCGTTGGACATGCAATTCCGATTTCCTTACGAGATTTCTCTTTAAAATTGTAGCCTCAATTCTAGCCAACATCACTTTCCGCAGGTGGTACTATGTAACAAAAAATTTATTGCTAGGGTTTTGAATCTTCAGACATGCTTTCAGGCCCACACATGGAATGAAAACGGATTAAAGATTGTGATGGGAGTTGTGTGAAAAACCTTATGCATGTTAAGTGCATGATCTAAGCTATGCACCTTGGTCTTTCATCTGGTTGAGTGAGAGCTTACGGTTTAAAAACAGGGTTGCTTAAAACACCAAAGCTCAATCGGTAGCAACAATTCTAACACTAACCAAGACTGTTTCTAAGCAAAGCCCACCAGTACACCAAAACAAATGGTCAAGCTTTTCCCAATTCGAGTAATTGCCGCCATCACCATTCATAGTCTGCATCTGTGCATTTTCTACCACAACCTTCTCCATTCATATGCGTGGGATTGTTACCAAAACATCAATTAGTCGTGTAGAATATTGCGAGAAAATACCTCCATTTAGAGGGCCAAACATGCGGAGGCCGCTCTGACAAGATGGATCCCTACAGTACAACCGCCAGTCGGAGTGGACGCGACTGTGACATTCCTTTTGCCCGACCGGCGTCAATCAACCTATAGAACCAAAAACTTGTAGTTTCTAACGGATCCCAACGTCAAACTCACTTTGGTTCAAATGCTCGAACGCCAATTAGAGATGGAGTTGGAGTAGGTCCCCCAAGGAAAGGGGCGCAAGTGTCAGCAGACGGGCAAACCCGTGCACAACTAAGAATCATCTCCTAGAACTGAGATGTTTTTCGTTCGCAACCGCAAACACGGATGCACATCGCCTCAACCCTAGCCCAAAAAAATGGTCCACCGCCGTTCAAAGTCCCTAAATGCTACCCTTCGCTGCCCCCAACTGGCCACTACAGGTGAAGTCGCAAGCTCAAGCTCTTCGTTTTTCACTTCTCCGAGCTCAGACCGAAACCGCTCTCAGTTTCCACAATCTCCCCCGTCTCCGCTTCCTTTTTGCCCCGATACTCTCCTCGCACGCCATTCTCCTTATCAGTCGCTCGCTTCCCTAATAGTTTTACCCGTCGACCATGCTCTTCCAAATCGAAATCTACGGCCGACGCTCCTGAGTAACCTGGATGAAGGAGAGGTCCAGAATGATACATCCGCTCTTGCTTATTCTGGTATCCCTGCACGCAGCCAGCTCAGAACTCTTGCACGACATACTCATAACCCTACCTTCAACTTCATATCTTACACACCCGTCTCAGAGAAGACTATTGCACCACCTCTTGGGTGGGTCGTCGATCAAGCTTCTACCTAAAATTCACAGGATCAAGACACGCACTGCCACTATCAAATGACTCAGTAACTCTGGGCACGGCACGACCAGGTATGCACAACGTTACTACCACGCTCATCCCTGGCATCGCCACAATAACGAGTGCGTCCTTACCCCTCGTCCAAAGCAATGAACTATGTGTGCTCTGACCTCTTCATGCGCACCACAGAAGTTAGCACTTCAGCCACTAGCCAACTTCTCTCTCGAGTTTCCCTCAAAAAAAGAAGAAAAAGGAAAAAACTCTTTCTACAGATACAAACTACTACCGACTTCATCAGTTTTCACATCTCGTCAGAGCTCTCGGAGTTACAATACCATCGTCAAGAAGGACTCGCACCTCCGGAGCTGCCACGATCTAAATAATCCCTCCCTGAACTCCACTCCCTTCAGCCTGGTCCAATCCAAATTGCCCACTCTACCCTCTAAACCCGTCGAGCTCGTCACCCTTGACCCCAACCCAACCATTCATCCAATCTCACAGGAAGCTGCAACAGCAACTTGAGAACCACTCTGCACAAGCAGTTCTCATACATTGGTAATTGTTGTCAAGGAATTACCGCAATTGGAACCTTGGACATCGAGTCCCTTGAATGAGGGTCAACTGAGGCTACGTCCCGTCTGTGTGGCCCATCGATTGCGACCGTGTAAGGCTGATCGTGCTTGTAACTGCCTTCTCGCTTGGACAAATCGTTCTTGTGAGCCGCTTCGAATCTGTCGCCCCGCCTGCTCAACCCTTCGGCCCCTTCCATGTGTCCAGCATCGCCATCGCGGGTCCTTCCTGCACCTCGATCCCTGTAGTGATTGCCACTAGGCCCGTTTCTGCTGCCGGCTGCACTCGATAGGCTCCACTTGTCCGCCCCATGGGAGTAGTTTCCTTGGTGTAGGTCTGACACTGTAATCGACTTGCTTGGTCGAGACATTGAACGAGATCCGCTCCGACCGTCGTCGTCTCTGTGCTTCTTGTTCCACGACCCACCTCCTACGCTGCCACTCAGAGGAGCCTGCGGTCCCGAGCGTGTTGCTGCGGAAGGGATACCGTACTGTCGGCCAAGCGTCACTGGCGATGTACCTTGCACTCCCGTGAATGTTTGGGTTGCTCGTGATTGGGCGTGGTACATGGGATAAGCAACGGCTTTGTCTTCGTGAAGGGGACCGAATTTCTCACTCTTGCTTTTATTTTGACCTGGCCGACTACGTCTCTGCACCGGACCACCCAAACATGTCAGCTATATTCCCATTTTTCTAAATCGTTCTCACAACAGTACGTCTAAAATTGCAACGGTTTCACAACGTATACGTCATCAGAAAATACACATACATATGCTAAAGAAGCGGCAAGCTCCGCATTCGCCTCCGGGGCACCGCCCGGTCGAATTACACGCTCCCGAGTGCCTGAACGCTTCATCTCCGAGTTCCTTGCTCTAGATCCCTGTGCTCTTTGCCTGCAATAAGCCACGCTTGATCGCGCTGGTTCAGAACACACAATTCCTTCGCGTAACTCTATATTACACACAATTAACGCAATGTCTCACACCAACAACCATTACCCACAGTTTGGTGGACTCTCCTCCACTCATGGCAACGGGTGCACAAACTTCTGGCTCCTAATACCCGTTCTCCATGTACAATCATTGCAGAAATGGAAGTATTGGCAAGTGAAATTCACAGCACCCTCACCAACATCACCAAAACCCTACATCCCATTTATAGACATCGTTCATTGTAACACGTTCCAAAACAAGTTCTTAAGTTGACCCTAGATGTTACCTGCGAGCCTCATCGTCCCGAATCTTGGCATCGAACTCCTTGCTCGGAGGGTATTGCGGCAAGCTTGAAGGGTCACAAGCAAGAGGCTTCGTCGTGAAGAACTGCACACCAATAGCAAGCGCACAGTTCGTGAGTAAGCTTACGCAAACCATAATTAGCAAAAATGCTTCATGCCCTCTAACACATGCCTCCACTGCTTCCTGGCATCAACCACACCAACTTCCCCTACAATGCATGCACCGCAATTTCAAAATCACAGCACTTGCTCACCTCGCTGGCTAAAGCTTGAGTAGCGCTTCCACGATCCGCAGGTTCGATGGCCAAAAGAGTATCCAGCAAAGCAAGGGAAGATGCTGGAAACTCTTTGAACACCTCATTAAGACACCGCTTGTATGGTTGTTGAGGCTTGAATATCGTCGCATGCGGCAATTTCGACTTCTTCCAATACTCCTCGGATGGGGAACCGCACAACTTAAAGATCTTGTGCAATTGTTCCACCTACATCACAAGAATGTGCCAAACCCCTCCAATTACGGCCTCAACCCCACAACTTGGGCCCTACAAACCCTACAATCTGTTACCAAACGCCGGAGGTAAAATTACACCACACTCCGTAGGACTAGTCACTACCCAATCTGCTCTCACAATGCACGCAGGAACCGGGACCGGCACCACGACTCGGATAATTATGACAGCAATTCACACCGTAATTACGTCATACTACCAATCAATACAAAGTAAAACAGTTTGCATACCTCCGTTCGTCCGGGCATTATAGGTTTGCCCGCTAGCAGCTCCGCCAATATACACCCCGTACTCCAAAGATCCACGGACACACCATACTCCGTCGCTCCCAGCAGCAGCTCAGGGGGGCGGTACCATAAAGTCACCACGCGACTTGTTAAAGGCTGCTTCTGGTCTGGATTGAAGAAAGTTGCCAGCCCAAAATCTGCAATTTTCAGCACACCGCCGTTGTCCAACAATAGATTGGACCCTTTGATGTCCCGGTGCAGCACACCCTGCCGATGACAGTGCTCTAATCCTCGGAGCAACTGCTGCAAGTAACACTTAACCTGCACATTTCCCAACCGCACACAGTGCTCATCATCCTACTGTCACCTCGCCACAACCACCTCTCCTTTCAACAAACCGAGGCCATCATGCTACAATCAATCCCCACCGCCCCGCTAAAAACTCTTCGTCTATTAACTGCAGCCGCGGTACCGTCCTCCCTCACAGCGTTTCATCGCTATCTTAAAATGAAAAATGCAATAAATTTCCCCCCGGTCCGCTGGGACTTCGCAAAATCGAGTTAATGAGATACAGGTAACTGAGTATGAGAAATTCGTTCACGACGTACGGTGGTAGCTGGAACAGCACCGGCTCCTAAAGCACTCAGAAAAACAAGCAACGCTGAACCTACGCAATAACATCCCGAAACACACGCTCCTGCTCGACATGCAGCGTCTGCTCTGCTTCCCGATTACAGAAGCTCAAACATATTCATGACGAGGCGGATTCGCTGCAACATGACTAAGGTGGGCAATCTACCTACCTGAGAACAACTCATCAATACGAAACAGCACATTGCTAACCGTGGGGCATTTAGGGTACACGAGCATGTGCTCCGCAGAACCACTCTCTGAGGACGTCTCCCCATGCGTGTCCAATCTTGGACGAGCTACCATTAAACAAAATAGTTCTACAGATTAATTTTCCATGGGGAAAGGGGAATTGCTATGATAGTGTGAGGAGTGTGTTCGAACCTGGGCTTCTGTGAACATTATACCCGGACATGCGGCCAGCCCAGCTAGATCGTGTTCCATATACTCGAATACCAAATAGAGGCTGCAAGACATTCGAGAAGTCACCAAGCCCTCCAGCTTCACCACGTTTGGGTGATCCAGGCGTCTCAGAACCTGAATCTCTCGTGCCATGAAACGTACACTCTCTGGTTCCAGGTTGTCGAAGCGCACCTTTTTGAGAGCCACAATCTTCCCTGTCTCTAGATCCCGAGCTTTGTACACATTGCTGTAGGTTCCCTGTCCAATCTGAACCAACACACAAAAACTCCATTGCTAACGCCTAGTGCCCGCATTCACTCAACACAAGATCCTGGGAACCGTTGTGCTTCCGCTGCATGCGTGCTCTAACGCACATTCACCGCATCCGAACACCACCATCATAAAAGCAAGACTCACTGACCCCAATGCAGTGCAATGCGACATACCAGAATGACCCCAAGCAATCGAAGACCACTCACTTTGTCTAGCTTCTCGAATGATGCAGCATGCCGAGGTATCCACCCCTTGATGGCCTCTCCCGCCACCTGAGAGAGCCAGCTTGGCCATCCCGCTGCTATCTGCTCCCCTTCCAAGTTCTTTGGAACCATACCCGAACGAGGGTGAGATTCCCCATGTGTTCTGTCCCCTCGTCTTCTACCCTCGGCTGCATCCTCCGATTTCAGCTGGGTCAACTGCGTCCCATTATGCCTTGCCCGAACCTTGGGCCGATCTTTCTCCTTGTCGATCACAGGTCCCAGGTCCGTAGTCTCGACCTTCGCGCTCGCGCTTGGCCGTCGCACTGACGTCCGAGTGCTGCCACTGTGGCTGCTCTGCTTCTCCTTGGGGCTTTCTGATTCCTCTTGAGGTACCCTAGGTTTGGACTTCGCACAGCCCATCCCTGTCCCTTCGTTGTCAGGGCCCCGCTGATGCAAGGACCGCCGGACCTCTTCCGGCCTCCGCAACCACTACACGTCCTTCGCAGACTCTGAATACGCGCGCCTCACAGCCATTTCCACTCCAACACTATCGACTGCTTCTACTCACAACCAACCTACCCAGACCGGTCCTCTTAGAAGCCCATAAAGCACCTCAACTCCTAAACATCCACCGCTCGCACTAGCTTACGCACTTAAGCACGTACGCACGACTCACAAAGACCACAACAGCGCACCATCCACACCCCGTCTCGCACCGACGCCACCACCTGCTCTGAAGTTCCTCCCGCCGACCTCCCCGCTCCACTCCCCCACCGAGCTACGCATTACCCTCACTTCCCCATTCAAGCCCGTCCTAGGATCAGCCACCATAAAAAAATGTGCCTTCCTCCCTTCGACCTCGCTTTTGCCCAGCCCTACACTTTCACTTCTATCAGCCCCTTCTCACCCACCTGCGTCTGCCATGCTCAAGCTCCACACCTACGTAAGGCCGCCCTGCCCCTACCCTAATTCCCCCCCTCCTCACCCTTGCCCTTCCCCTCACCTCCAGTGTGTGTCAGAGCCTCTCAGTCAAAATCCTGTCTCGTCGTACTCCTCTCCCAACAAACACCTCTGTCCCTCACACATCCAATGCACGCCAAAATGCGTTTTCCTTCCCCTCCTCCCTTCTTCCTCCTCCGCAACAACAACTAGCATACACCAACCAACTCTCCCCCCAAGTCTTGCAAAGAAGCTACACCCGCCGCGACATACATACAAAGCATATCGACGGAAAGGAGCTTCTCACTCTGCAATGGAGCTTCCTCGCTCCGACTCTGCGTCCTGTTCAACAAATCCTCTATTCACAAAATAATTGGCGTGATTTCTGGTTCCCACGCCTCCGAGCGGCACAACTAAATAAGTTAGTACTGTAAAGGAAAACTGGATTACACTAATGTAGAAGATGATAATATAATATGATACAACAGTGGGATAGACACCAGGCAAGCCTAACAAAACCACGGAGCAAGGGGGGAGGAGGGGTAGTAAACAATAGAGCTTCCACACCGTCGAGAAGGACCCTTGGAGGAGATACAGGAGAGGAAGAGGAGCAGGATGCAACGAGGAGGAGCAACAACAGCAACAAAGCAACGCGATGCTCCGACAAACGCCATTGCCCGCGCTCGGTGTTCTGAGAGGCAACGAAGCCCGCCAACGGCGGTCTCAACGACCGTTCCGAAGGGGGAACACACCCCGAGCAGGTGGCAGTTCTGGCCGAGACCGGCCTGCTCTTCGAGATCGCCCGCTCCGAAATGCCCCCAACCCACCCACCCAACGGCATCCGACGGTTATTTATGGTCATTCTACTCATCTGAGCCGATTCCGCTTGGAAATTCCTTGTTCCCTAGCTCCCGTTCCACTCAAAATTCGCGACGTTAATGAGCGTTCCCGCCACCACCGGGCGCTTTCCCGTTTCCCCCACCCTCCGTTCTCGAGAGTGCCCATGTGAGTGCCAGGTTTCCCGAACCCGTCCCCAGGTCCCACCCGCGGCATCACTCACTGGGCCGGGCCACTTTATTATGCCTATGTGATATTGTGCAGATCTGGGAATTGGGCATTCATGAAGGAATTTCTATTGCCTGTGCCGGCGCCATTACCCTTCCCGTCCCCCCACCCTCCCTTGGGGAACCATGGGAACCACCCAGAAATACATTCTTCTTCCAGCGCACAATTACGCTGAGAATGGGCGACTTGGGTTCATCAATTCAGAGCTTTCATTTCGAGACGACGACATTCTGTGCGGAATTGGGTTGTGTGTGGGGTTCTGGTCATTGGCACTTCTGCTATAGGGATACCCCACCCATAACATTCCTACAAGTTTAAACAAGGCAAGAATGAAGAATATTAATAGCATTAAAATATTAAAATCTCCTTAAAATGTCAAAAAAGTCTGTTTAAGAGCATGGAGACCATCACCTTTCATTGTGTTCTGGGCTAATACATTGGGCGAAATAATTTTGCAGGTTTAATGGATGACTGTTGAACAGACCCCCCTCCCATACTTGAGGGATATTTGGGTATTATTCATTCTTGTTGTTCTAGTTTATTCATTTGTTGTTCCAGTAGTCAATAGACAGTAGCACAAGTAATGTCAATGTAGATTAAATAAATGGAATAGAATTTCACAAGCAACAGCATCCATGAAATATATTTTTGTCATTGGTTATTTTTGAAATAACTTTTCACGTGATCTTCAGATCAAGTGATCATGGGGTATGACAAATATATATATATATATATATATATATATTATTTATCCATGAGGTTTTTACCCAAAACAATTGTATATTGACCAATACTATTTGTCTTGTAAATTACAGAATATAATGCAATCCAATTATTTATGTTATAACAAGGTCTAAGACACACAAGACCACTATAGTAGCTAAATTATTGTCTACTTTTAGGTTGTGAAGTAAAACGTGTATAAATGTATATTGATTATTTGATATCTATTTATTAATATTTTCTCTTACTTGATAATATTTGTTGGAACTCAAGCTGTTCCTAATTCATAAACTTATCACGTTTTTTTTGCATAATTAATAAATATAATTAAAATCAATAAAAATTTTATAATTAAAGTAGGAGGTGTGGATTGAGAAGAAATGATCATTTGTTGACATAGGCACATATGAGGGAGGAAGGAAAAGAAAGAGTGATGAAGACCACCAAGAAGGAGGTTATTATAAGAATCTATGCACACATTGAAGGTACTCATGGGATGTAGTATCAACACATTGTCCAAACTTCCAATGTCTTGTTTTTATCTATTATTAAATAGATGGAAGGCAAAGTTAGAATAAACTTGTATAAAACCATAGTAAAATATATGTGACAATAAGGTTTTATTTCAACAAATGATTTTTGTTAATGAATGATAAAAATAAAACAATCTTCTTTCTTTTTAGTGGGCAAATTGAAGGTGAGAGCATAAATTTGTTTTTATTCTACATCTATTTTGCATGACTAAAGCAAGACCAAGGGAAGTGCCAACTTCTGCTTCAAATAATTGTTTCTTACTTGTATTGTATTGGAAGCTTGGAGCTACTTTGTCTTCATTATCTTTGACTTGTCATCTTTTGCATCTACTGACAACAAGTTATAGTTTCAATCAATTAAACTTTCAACAAATGCATAAGCTTGTTTTCAGCTTATGACAACAAGTTGTAAGAACACAACAATTGTGAGGCTTCTATAGCTTAGATAGCCTAGCCTTTGTATTGTGGTGTGATTTAAAGAATTTTAAACTTCTTTAACATCAAAAACAAATGTTGTAGATACTCAAATAAATATCCAAGATATTAGCTTGGTTTTGTATCTACTAACTTTACAGTCTTTATTGCAGCAAAGATCTCTTTAATCAACAAATAGAAAACATACAATATATATCTTTGAAAAAATGATACAAGAAAATTAACAAAAAATATTTTCCACACCTTCCTATCCACTAATGTATTATCAATCATTAGTCTAATAAATTTGATAGTGTTTTTCTTCATGATCCATCAAATATTCCTTGCAATCCATTCTAAAGTACAACCTTTCTATTTTGTTAAACTAATGGAAAGTAAATTGTTTTAAGGTAAGTGCAATTAGTTTTTGTAATCAATTATACTTTTTATTATGGAAAATGATCAATTCTAAAGTATAATCCTTCTATTTTGTTAAACTTTTCATTTTGCAGTGGAATTATTGCTATGTAATCAATAATCAACATTTATAAATTTTGGACCATACATAGAAAAATATTATTTGCAAAAACTAATTGATTGTACAATTTTGGACCATACATAAGGCAAATTACAAAAAATATTGATTGCAAAAACTAATTGCACTTACCTTTAATATCTTTGTACTATTATTCAAAAAGCATACTATTGATATTCTTACAATTAAGAAGAAGGTCATTCTTTGATTAGAACACTTTAAATTTTGTTTTGAGGTTCTTATCCTTGACTTTTTAGAATGCAATTTATGTCACAAAATAATGCATTGCCAAATACTTTTTAAACAAAACTTCTATATTGGTGTTGAATTTTTGCAACATGAACGTATGAATTAAATTTATTTTTTTAAACAAAAGAGCTACAAAGAAACTAGAGTGAGAAGCTTTATGCTTCTCATTACCATAACTTATATACCATTTGGAAAGATCCTCTTTAATACCTAATTTCTTGAATTTTTTTATTATAATGTTGTAAAGTTTACACCTTCCAACAAGATGAGTGATTGCATACTTGTTTTTCTTATAAATGATAACATTTTCTTTGCAATGTTTGTGGATATTTTTTTTAAAAAAGTATGGATTAATAGTTTCTAAAAAAATTGACTAGAAACTTCAAGGTTGGCAACTACATATTTTTTTGCCAACCTCAATGAAGAAAAATTTGTCACTTTGGTCTTTTGTAAATAGCACCAACTTGCCAATCTTGCATCACTTATATGTCACCCCATTTACCTTGCTTGTAATACCAAACTACCAAATGCATCATTACTTTAAGCTAAATAGAGGCACATAAGAAGCCAAATTTGCTTAATCATTAATAATGATGTATGGCACTATAGGCATGTCTAAGTAACAAAAATTGTTAGACTGTAGACTTGTGATCCTTAAGATTTAACTTCTTAAAAAGTAGTAATAAGCAGTTAAGCAGTCTTGTTTGCAATTTGAATTGCATAGGTTAAATCATGTTTGGTGAAAATTCCGATTTTTAGGTTTTTATTGTTAAACCTAATTAAATCTCGACCTAAAAAACCTATGCCTATTACCTTTAATAGAGGGAGGTACAATGATGATGATAATAGCCTCTTGGTACTGTTCATTCATCTGCGTTTTTTCATAACTTTCCAATTCCATAATAATACTTAGAAACTATGAAATTTAATAATCCAAAATAAATTATAAAATCTTACATAAGTTGAAACTTTCCATTTACCAAGATTTTAAATTAAGTAGAGTGCAAAAGATAATATAGGTGATTAAATTTTTACAAGCAAAACAATTCTTACATTATAATTAGCTATTGAATAAAACCTGGAAGAATATTAAATCATACGTTTTTAAATGTAATAATGCAAAAAAAAAGAATTTAATTGATATTTCAAACATGTACATTAAACTTAGACATGCCAAAATAAAAAAAGAAGAAGAAGATATATAATAAAAACTAACAATCTTTATAATTGAAGGAACTATTAACATTATTAAAAAAAGAAGAAGAAAAGACAAACAAACAAACAAACAAACAAACAAATTATCTTGATCAAAATTTATATTTGTAAAAAAACCATAATAAAAATTCCAATTATATATCATTTCAAAATCTTTTGAATTATTCTAAAAAAAATTAATAAATTTATTTTATAAAATATAAAATAACAGGTAATATAATTTGTATGTTTACATGTAAAAATATATTCTAAATGTCTATAATGTGTATTTCCATAAAAAAAATAAAAAACTAATTAGACCAAAAAATATATGAATAAATTTGGACAATAAATTTGTAGACTGGCAAGTTGTATTATTAAAGGTTAAACCAAAGACATACTTGATCGTGTAAAAACTTTTATGAAATATTTTTTCTTTTCTTGTCTACAATCTGCTTGTATTTTAACATAGCCATTTAACAGTTGTGCAGAATTAATTTTTGGAAAGGTATACATCAAAAGAACAAGAAAGATCCTATGACAATACCTAAAGCTTGTAGAATTAGTGTGGAAAAAGTGCAAGTTGATATAAATAGTAATATATATATATATATATATATATACAAACACACACAGTCTAATAAGATGCAACAAAGTCTCTCTTAATTCTACATGTTTAGATGGAATAATTTTAAAATAATTTATTAAAAAATACAAGGGAGGGATTTTTTGAAAAACAAACAAAATACACAGTGTCATCATTATATCAATTACATTAATTACTTAGCCTTGTTCCAACAAGCCAAGGTCTTGCTTGCATGATTCTGGATGAATTCCACAGCATATTCCAAGGTGCATATACCAAGTTAATTTTTTTGGTCAGATTACAATTTTTTAATAACTTTGAAAATAAATAAATTAAACAGAAGATCAAATGAATTCTTAATAGATAAATTAGTTTAATGACCAAATACTGTAAGTAGATTTTGTTTTTTTTTTTACAACATTTACAAGAAAAAATGTGCTAATAGAACATAATAGAGAAGTAAAAGAGCAAAAAACTGTTTTGAGTTTAAAATAATAATTGTGATTGTACATGA